GTCGCGCAGGTGTAAGGGGGACTGCCTGAGCTACGAAGACAGTGCAAAGAAGAGTGACGGTGGCGAGAAGAGCAGTAGTAAGACGCATGGCGGATGTATGGGGCTGGTCGTTAGGTTCGTGCGATGAGGGGAGTTTCTGGAATAGTGTCTGGATAACGAATCAGACGGATGGGCGAGTAGTCGAAAGTATGTTAGAGCAAGACTGCACGCGTGAAGGAGGACCGGCCTGGCTTTGGACATTGCTCCGTCCTGCCTTTTATGTCTGGCGGCCGTCCGCCTTGACACACGAGCGTCGGTACACAGTCCGTTCCGACATGCGAGCGTTTAACCCAATGTGCCCGTCAGCTCTCCAGGGGAGCAGTACAAAGCGCCCGAACAGCGCTCTGGCAGATAAGATGATACGTGATTCGGAGCTGCACATGCAGATGTCATGTCAGTCAAAATTGCACCACACCTAATAGACAAGGCGGGCCCAGTCACCTTGAGCGCCCGGAGGTTTGAACTTCGAAATAGTTATCCGGAACAAGCTCTGTGCCAAGTGCCCAAATACAAGGATGAACCAGCGAGGTTTCATGAAGTCGACAACCATCCTCTTGAACCCGAATTCCGTAACATATTCCGGAGAAAGTGTGGGCTGCTCAGCGCTCAGGCCTCAGGTGCTGTACCTTTGAAGCCCAGGTTCGCCGCGCTCAAAGGTATCAGGAAGCCCCTCTTGATCCGGCGCTCACCTCAGCATCCCGACACGGTATCCGGACACACCGTAGAAGGGCATCGGACGGTGCGCCACCCGTCGTTTCGGAGGTACACCTGCCTATAGGGCGATGCCGATCATGAGATCAGGAAAGGGGCTGTGCGACGTGAATAGCAATCGTATCCCTAGGAGGCCACAGCCTGAACATCTCGGGGGCTCAAAAGTGTTCCATCACAACCCCCACTACAACCATTCGACCTTGCCCGACTTCCACAGTGAGTGAGACTATACATTAGATCGCATATGATCAGTATATTGACGTGGGTTTTTTTAGCCAAAAGCACCCACCAACCACCTCGATGTCCCCAGCAAACTCCCAACCCCTCACTCTCGACGGCAACGTCGAGACATTCTACGTCCATCAGTCCTATGTACTCACCTTCGGCAAAACCAGCGTCGATGTCTGGCGCGCGGGAGGCCCACACGAGCGCCTCGAGCACGTAGCACACCTCGCCCACTTCGTACAGCCTCCGCCGTATCACCTCGAACCCATCTTCGACATCGACCGTAACCTCATCATCATCGCCGACCAGGCCCAGGAGAATGTCCCACCCTCGCTCTTCGTGTTCAGCGTCGTCGACGGTCACCTCATCCGCAAGCTCGAGCTGTATGGCACCTTGACCGAGGATCACCTGTGGTACGCGGACGGCAAGGTCGTTGTCGCCATTGTAGAAAACCTCACCACAGCCTTGCTCTGCGACGTCCTCGGCGACGGTGGGGTCCTCGGCCGGGCCACCCTCCCCTCACGTCTCAGGGCGCGCGAGGAGAAGCGGCTGAACACGAACGGAGGCGTGCTGTTGCCCGTCCACGTCAGGCCGAACGGCGATATCATCGCGACGTCGTCCGAGGCGTGGGGTGACAAAATGGAGGTCCTGCGCTGGCGCGGGGCCGACGTTCCCCACTCACCGGAGCCAGACGCTAGCTTCACGCTCGACGTCGGGATCGAGGATGGCGATGAGATCTACCCGACATGCAGCGCGCACCTGAATGAGAACACCTTCCTGCTGGCCGTCTACGAGGCAGACGGTAGCGGGCTCCCGGTGCAATCTGCCTGCCAGACGTCGATCTATGCCATCGACACGGAGACCATGACCATTCGGTGGCACGCTAAGCCCATCGAAGGCTGGGTGCACACCGTTCGATACGTTGCTGCTCTGGATGTTATCGTCGCATTTGGACGGCACGACAATGGAGACGGCATAAAGTCCGATAAGTTCGGATACGCCGTCGTCCTCGACCCCGCGACGGGCAGCCAGCGGCAGATGGAGACGATCAACCACGGCGTGCAGGGCACTGCAGTAGAGTATTGTGGGCTCAGTCAAACCGGTGATGAGTTCGCGGTCGTCGTTGTCTTCGCTGATGGGTCCGTATGCGCGGTCGATCTGAGGCGATTCCTGGAGCATGGCTTCCCGAGAGAAGGCGAGCGGGTGGTGGTTTCGAGGCCACTGCCCGAGGGATCCAGCGTCAAGGAAGTGGCCATCGCTGGGCAGACAGTAATCCTTTTCGTCGACGACGGCGGCGAGTCTCCGCGCAGCCTGTACTTTAGCCTTGAGTAAAGGTCGGAAGATGGGAGTACTGACGCAAGAGGGTCGAGGCACATACTGTACTTACCGAGCACATACTTACTGTACCGATACCGTGACAGTGCTATGTAAGGATGTAATTATACATGTAGTAAGTAAGTACTACTTGCTCGGTGATCGTAGCTCTGTCACGGTTACGGAATTTGTGACTGCTGGTAAGATCTACCTACAAGTTGTTAACATGTTATTACCGAGGCCCTGAGTATCATCGGCACGCAGTGACGGTTCTCAAGACCTCATCTCTTGATTGTTCACTTTAAAACCTGAGTGACATCCTGAACAAATATGTAATATACTCTCCAAGCCGTACAGCAGTTTGTTACTGGCCACAAGACCGCGCGCAGCGCGCAGCATGAGAAGTGTGACGGTCCGGATGGTGTACAGCACCAATTGAGCACCGGGGTAGGTTCTCATAACGTTCAGTCATCTGGAGATGGTCGCCTAGGATATTCAAAAATCACATTGACAAAGATGTGAATATATGGTCCGGCCCACCCCGTCCTAGCAATTCGCACCCCGTGCTGCCGTCGTCGCACGGATGTCCTTCGGGAAGCACTGGTCGTTCGTCACGTACACGCAGATGTTTGGCCCGAAGGTCGTTGCGACAGAATATGAGCCATTCGTCACTGAGTCGCGCAACTTACCCGCCTTGAGCCCCGCTGTGATCGCGTCCGTGCAGATCCTGGCCACATCCATCTCCTTGTACCTATGCACAATGTTTTGAGCCTTGATCTCGGCCTTGTCGTCAATCCAAAGTGTCTTTGGCTTAACAAGTGGTAGAGGGACCGGTCAATCGGGAACAGCATATGGGGCTAAGTGGCCCACCTTGCGTGTGCGTGGCACTTGAGCGAGAGCCGTCGCCTCATCCTTTTCTGAGTCGTCAGCATGATTCTTCAGCCAGGCTGACATAAGATGCCGGCCGGAACCTGGGCTACTGCCGCCGTGCAGGACGTGTGTCTTCATCACCGCCCATAATTGAGCTGCTTTCGCAGCGATTTCAGTATCCTCGGCCTCACTTCTCGCAGCAAGGCTCTGTCGTGTAAGCTTCGGCGTTAATGCAATCGCGCCGCAGGGTCAGTGCTAAGTACTGACAGCGGATGCCTTCCTGCATTGAGCCGCAGATGTTGCGAGGGACCCAGGGTGGCCTTCTTTCGCGGCACAGCTTAGCGTGTCAAGCGAGAATCCGCAACGATCCGCACGGGCTGCAGTGGTAATAAGCGTGGGTGATAGCTTTCGTGCGACCACCACCATTACAACGTACCACAAGAGTCACAGTCTGTCAATCTCGCACAGGCTCTAGCATCGTTTCGGGAGCCAATCGCCAGCGGGGCGGCTTGCACTAAGAAGACGGTGCAAAGGAGGGTGATGGTAGCAAGGAGAGCAGTAGCGAGACGCATGTCGGGTGTACGGGACTAGTCGTGACGTTCGTGAACGGACGGTCGATAGGATGGATGGGTCGAGTAGCAAATGCCCGGCGATGCAAGACTGCACGAATGGAGGAGGACCAGCCTGGTTTTGGACATTGCTATGCCCGGCCTTTTATACTTGTTGACCGTCAGCCAGGACACGCCTGATTGCCCATCCGTTAGGATATCCGAGCGTTCTAACTGACCGGACAGCTCTTCAGGAGATGTCGCGAAGCTCCCAGATACCGCCCGGGCAGATCGGGAGCTTGAGATGATACACGATGCGAAGTACCGCAAGGCTCTGCGCAATACGGAATGTAAATTGAGATAGCACAAGATGCGCGCAAGCAGTACGTGCCTTGTGAGGTCGGGCGCTCTAAGTTCGACACCTACTGCCGAATGAAAGGCCATATTCAGAAATCGGGCACTTAAATCACATTTTTTCCCGCCACGCTACCTTTGCATTCTTACGCGCGAATACTAGCCAACGCATCCATAGAACGCAACGTGAGTGGCTGTGCTGCATCGTCGAGGGCGATGTTCATCACATTTGCCATTTGAACGTCGCAGGAAGCTGTCAACAGTTCTCTTGGACCCGCGCCCGGCGAAGCATGCTGTAACAGTATCAGGATACTCCGAGGAAGGCGTCGGTCCATGGGCCTTACCACAGGCAGAAGTGCCTTTAGGGCGCCGGTCCCGATCATGAGATCAACAAAGGGGCTGTGCGAAGTTGTCCACAGGCCCGAGGACACCGCATCTCGGGGCCACAAAACTTGTCCCTGCGACCGTTTTGCTTCCAGAGACTGGGACACTTCGTTGGAGATGTATGATCAGCATGCTGACGTGCTTCGTTCAGTTTAAGCATTCCGTAACATACTCCAGGGAAAGCGTCGGCTGCTGTGGTACTGCACCTTTGAAGCCCGCGTTCGCCCCGTCCAAACGTCTCAGGAAGCACCTCTTGATCCAGCGCTCATCGAAACATCCCGCAGCGATATCCGGACACCCCGAAGAAGACGTCGGATGGTGGGCACAGCTGCCTGAGGGCGGTCCCAATCATGAGATCAGGAAACTTGGGTGCGACGTGAATATTTGGATGGCTATAGTATCCGTAGAAGCATCTTGGGTGCTGAGAATGTCCCATCGCACCTCCTGCTACGGCCCATCGGCCTTGCCTGACTTCCACGGAGAATGAGACGCTACATTGGATCGTGTATAATCAGTATGCTGACGCGCTTATACAGCCAAAAGAAAACACACACCATCCACTTCGATGTCTCTAGCAGTCTCCCAGCCCCTGACCCTCGACGGCGACGTAGAGGCATTCTACGTCCACCAGTCGTATGTACTCACCTTCGGCAAAACCAGCGTCGACATCTGGCGTGCGGGAGCCCCACACGGGCGTCTCGAGCACGTAGCGCACCTCGCCCACTTCGTACAACCTCCGGCGTATCACCTCGACCCCGTCTTCGACACCGACCGCAACCTCATGGTCATCGCCGATCAGACTGAGGAAAACGTCCCACCCTCGCTCCTCGTGTACAGCCTCATCGGCGGTCAACTCATCCGCAAGCTCGAGCTGTATGGCACCCTGACTGAGGATCGCTTGCGGTACGCCGATGGGAAGATCCTTGTCGCCGTCGTACTGGAAGACCTCACGACCATACTGCTCTGTGACGTCCTCGGGGATGGCAGGGTCCTCGGCCGTGCTACCCTCCCCACACGCCTCAGGGCGCGCGAGGAGAAGCGACTGAATACGAACGGAGGTGTGCTGCTTCCCGTACACGTCAGGCCGAACGGCGACATCATCGCGACGTCGTCCGAGGGATGGGCTGACAAGATGGAGGTCCTGCGCTGGCGCGGGGCCGACGTTCCCAACTCACCGGAGCCAGACGCGAGCTTCGCGCTCGAGGTCGGGGTCGAAGACGGCGATGAGATCTATCCGACATGGAGTGCGCCCCTGGACGAGAACACCTTCCTTTTGGCCGTCTACGAGGCAGACGGTAACGTGCTTCAGGTGAAGTCTGCCTGCCAGACGTCGATCTATGCTATCGACACGGAGACCTTGACCATCCGGTGGCACGCTGAGCCCATAGGAGGCTGGGTGCACACCGTTCGACATGTCGCCGCGCTGGACATCATCGTCGCGTTTGGACGGCACGACAACGGGGACGGCATACAGTCCGACAAGTTCGAATACGTCGTCGTCCTCGATCCTGCGACGGGCAGCCAGCGGCAGACGGAGACGATCAGCCACAGCGTGCAGGGCACTGCAGTAGAGTACTGCGGACTCAGCCAGACAGGTGATGACTTCGCGGTCGTCGTTGTCTTCGCTGATGGGTCAGTATGCGCGGTCGACCTGAGGCGATTCCTGGAGCATGGCTTCCTGAGGGAAAGCGAGCGGTTGGTGGTTTCGAGGCGACTGCCAGAGGGGTCCAGAGTCAAGGAAGTAGCTGTAGGTGGGCACACAGTGATAATTTCCGTCGACGACGGCAGCGGGTCTCCGCGCAGCCAGTACTTTAGCCTCGAGTAGAGTTTTGGTACCTATGTAGAGGTCAAGACACAGACTTGAACCGCACGAAAAATGGTAGCTCTCTGTCACAATCACGGGACATGTGACTTGGCGCGCTCCCGCCGGCAGCATCGTGATTCGTGACGGCGGTCCTCATCTTTATCATGACTCTGTGCGCCCTGGTCAGTCTGACTCGACGCGATATGTCTCTGTTAAGAATGGCCACCTCTCCACCGTATTTTCCCACACAAACACCCGGACAACGTAGCGAGGACTGAGACCATGTCTCCGGCATTCGTAAACAACTTCACCCCGCCACCAGCAACCGTTTATCCTGACCCTGACAGCGTCCTCGCCTCCAAGGAGCCGTACGACATCAACTTCTCATTTCCGCTGCACTTCGATACGCTCGCATGTCCGACTGTCCGTCTTACGCCGTTCGTACCAACCTTGCACGCCCGCACGCTCTGGGAGCACGTCGGCCCACGGGCGCGTGAACTCTTCAGGTACTATCCCTACTGTCCTGATACCCTCGCACATTTCCTCTCCGTCGTCGAGAACATCCGCCGACACCCGGATAACTGTGCATTCGCCATCTTCGACCGGACGCGTCGACCAGATGGACCAGGAGGAGACTCACCCGCGGATTCGGAGGACGGTACGCTCGCGGGCGTGATGGCCCTCATCAACACGTCTAAGCAGCACAAGAACACGGAGATCGGACTCGTCGTCGTCTTCCCCGCGTTCCAGGGCACGCACGTCGCGCGCACCGCGCTCGGCCTTCTCCTGCGCTACTGCTTGCAGCCGGCGGCGGCCTCTCCTCCTGGGTTGGGCTTCCGTCGCGTGCGCTGGTCGGCGCACCCGCATAACAAGGCCTCGATCAAGCTTGCGAAACGTATGTGCTTCCAAGAGGAGGGCGTCATGCGCTGGACGTTTTGCATACCGAACGTGGAGGAGATGAAGCGAGAGGCGCATGGAGTGAAGAGAGAAGGAGAAGACGGTTGGGGACGCGATAGCGTCTGTCTGGCGATCTGCTGGGACGAGTGGGATCGGAGCGCAGGATATGGTGTGGAAAGACTGTTACAGCAGCCGTCGGGCCAATAGGTGAGCCGACAGTCGTTTGTCACCTATGCTGGTGTCTCAAGACCGTAAGCTGTCACTAGATTGCTGCTGTAGGAGACCAAGTAAATTGACTGGTGAGCGTGAGCAACTGTACCCTCGCCCCGAAATGAAGCTGACAATCAATGATGCAGTGTCCCTCCATTGCATCATTCCAGCGAACGAAGGGTACAATACTGCATCTCGACTGGCGCTGGACTGAGTGCGATCTGCATGTTTGTGGAACGCTTCACCGCATTCAGAGAGGAAGACTGGGTTGTGAGATCGAAATGATCTTGTTGTCTGAGCTCCGTAGTGTCCCTGGTGTTCAAGTTGAGTGGACAGGTCTTTCACTTCGTACATCCCAGGGCAGAGCGAGGGAACACAGAAGTGCTTACGAGCTATTGGCAGATAGGTTCTATGTGCGTCTGAGTGGACGATGCAGATGACTCTTCAAACTGAATACGTACTGATCAACCCAGGATCACCCTTTCCTTAGGGCATGCGCCTGATTCAGGAGAGGTTACTGTTGACGGCATGGTTCCGGCCGAGACCATCGCGATCACTGTTTCTGCGGTCGTGATCGTCAAATGACTCGACGTCGGTTCTCTACCTATATACACGGCAGCAGATTCACTGCTGCATTGTCCACCGCTACCTAAAAGGCGTGGTCACTGGTCAGAAATGCCACCGCCATACGTGAACAACTACACCCCGCCCAAGATCGCGCCTTACCCTGACCCCGAGAGCATCCTCGCCTCCACGGAGCCCTACGACATCAACTTCTCCTTCCCGTTGCACCTCGACACCCTCACGTGTCCTACTATCCGCCTCACGCCGTTCGTACCTTCGTTGCACGCTCGCACACTCTGGGAGCAGATCGGCCCACAGGCACGCGAGTGCTTCAAGTACTACCCCTACTCCCCCGACACCTTCGCACACTTCCTGTCCGTCGTTGAAGGCCACCGACAGAATCCACATACATGCGTCTTCGCAGTCTTCGATCGGACGTGCGGGCCAGATGGGGCGCGCTCGGACACAGACTCGGGCGCAGAGGAGCGTGACGGCGTGCTTGCGGGTACGCTGGCCCTGATTAACACGTCCAAGCCGCACAAGCACACGGAGGTCGTCCTCGTCCTCGTCCTCCCCGCCTTCCGGCGCACGCACGTCGCGCGCATCGCGCTCGGCCTCCTGCTCCGATACTGCCTGCAGACACCGTCGGCCTCCCCGCCCGGGCTGGGCTTCCGCCGCATCCGCTGGTCGGCCCATCCGCAGAACGCGCCGTCGATCGGGCTCGCAAAGCGCATGGGGTTCAGGGAGGAGGGCGTGTTGCGCTGGACGTTCGCTCTCCCGGACGTGGAGGAACTGACGCGCGAGGCGCCGGTGGTGGAGAGAGAGGGCGACGAGGGGTGGGGACGGCATAGCGTGTCTTGGCGATTTGCTGGGATGAGTGGGAGAGTGGAGGGCGAGCGACTGTGGAGGGGTTGTTGCAGCAGACGTCGGGCCATTGATACTGAGTGAGCTGGTATTCGTGCGGCGGCGCAGGCCTGGCTGATCATCATCTCAATTGCTGCAGGGACTGTATCCCCATAAAACGCCTTCAAACGAGTTTGTGTGAGAGGAGATGACGGTAATAAGTAGTGCTCACGCTTTCGACATATCTTGCAATGCAGATGTTGAACCCATCTATTCGATCCTGTCCGTCGACGGACTGGGTTCAAGTAAATTTTGGCTAATGGATCAGTCCATCGTGCTCGGAGCTGTCGTCGAAAGCATCCTTATCCGCTATGCCAGAGCGATCATGGACGCAGAGACACATCAACCGCGGGCCCATAAGATCAGTTGGACCTTGCGTGCGACAGGGATATGCCCTCAGGCTTCGAGTACGATCACTAGAACTACTTTACTGTATCATGATAGTCAGACAGCGTTGATTGGTCATTTAGCATCCGTGGCACGGAACCCGAGAGCATAGAGGCCACCGCCAATCCTGCAGAAAGAGGCTGAAATGTAGTTTCAACCGAACTCTACAATCGAGCGTTGCCGTTTGTCATATACCGAGTATGAATATCGTTGCGGACATCGTAAGTAAATGGCCAACTTCACATCAAACGCGAGCTTCAGCAGCGAGATTTGTCCCGGTTTCGTTTTCTGCGACATACGACTATCAAGGCTGCGAAGTGGCCCAACAGCCTTTTGGCGCCCGGCGATGCAGAAGATGTCACGCGAACCGTGGGAACCCCTGAGGTTGTGGCGACGTGAATCATTTTCCTGTGCTCTCCTCCCAACGACGACCTCAAGCTGACCTGAAGACTCTACGTACGCCGCAATTCCCTAAGGCACAATGTCCAAGCTGGAAGATGTCGACAATAAAGAAAACGCGAAGGTAGCCATGGCCAAACCGAAGAGCAAGAGACCGCGGACGACGAGTAAGGCGTCCAAAGTGCATTGTCTGTGTCGGAAGCCGGATGACGGATCGCCCATGATCAGATGCGAAGAGTGCAGAGAATGGTACGTGTCGGCCTTGAACGCACCTGCAGGTGCGCGCGATGGACAGTGGATTGACTCCTGGGCGGTTCTAGGTACCATTTCCGTTGTGTGAGTCTTCCCGAGAGGGATGCGGAGGATGTCCGTAAGTTGTCGCTTTTCCTGTGTTCAAGCGTCGAGGACTAACGTGTGTCACAAGCAGAAACGTACATATGCCCTTCGTGCCACGAGCGTACGGGCTTGCGGACAATCAGTGAGTATTTCGGCTCAATACACGGGCGCGTTGCCTGCATTCTGGTTCTCGTTTCTTTTGCCTGTCCATGTACTTCGTTTACGCATCATGTAACTTTGCCCTCATGTGCTCCGTGCCCGCACTCTTGAGAGACCGTCAAGTTAGTTGCGCGTAGGTAGTGTCCGTTGTGGCGTTCGCGTGCGTACCCTGCACGAGCAAGTGTGTGGCCTAGTCAAAGTCGGCCTCTCGATGTCAGGCAGGTCGTACGGTGTCACTCGTCTGGGGCGACTGCATGATTGCCGTCGTGAGGCAATGCCTAAGGAAGCTCCTTGAGCAACCGGGGGTCGTTGTCTTAACGGGCACTGCCTGCAGAGCATATTAGGAGGGTCGTACCACATGTTTCTCATTCGTTGTGTTTGGTGTTATGTGTGCACGGGCGGTGACTGATAGTTGGTTCTCGCAGTGGACTGGGAAGGTGTGGACGGCTTGGAAGAGAGCAGCGACGGGACAAGACAGAAAGCAACACCGATGGCCAGGCAAGACGGCCCGGAGAGTGGGCGAGATAGCGATATGAACTCTCCAGAGTCGGATGATGGAAGTGGGGACGAGTATGTTGCGGAGGAGTCGAAGTCGAGAGTGACGGTCAAGGTGTGTGTCTACCGTTACCTCCTCGCCACCAAAAATCCTCACCTGTGGCGTCGCTTTCCAGCGTCGGACACGCAGGGTATCGATCTCATCCAACTCGGACACGGATTCCGATGGGTCGCCCACCAAACAGAAGGCACCGAAGCGACAGCGTCGTACAAGCACTGTGACTCACGAAGGTGGTGTGCGCAAATCTGCATCCCCTGGTGCGAGTTCCCTGGTCAAGCGTAAGCAATCAAGTGCCACTGCACCTCCCGCGAAGCGTGCGAAGTCCGCCTCGGGCGACGATCCTGCGCGGAAGTATTGCTTGACCAAGCTCGAGGAGATATTCTGTCCTATTTTCCTCCGTCACCCTTTTCTGGACGGGAAGAAGGCCACCTCGGGTAACCTAGAGCCCACCAAGCAGGAAGATCTCACCGATGAGGAGAAAGAGAAGCTGGAGATGACTGCGAAACATTTCGCTGCAGACCTCGAGCAGTGTATCTTCAACTTGTATTCCGATACTGACAAACACGGGAGGCATTTCGTGGGAAGCAAGTATAAGTGAGTCGTTTGTCAACAAGCAGTTGTGGTCGTACTGACATGACCTGTGCAGGGAGCGTTTCAGGATGCTAACATTTAATCTAAGCAAACCTGATCGTGTGCTACTTCATAAGCGCATAGCTTCATCGAGCCTCACGCCAAATGAACTGTCGACAATGACCTCCACCGAGCTGGCTGACGAAGAGACAAAACAGTCCATCAGGCATGCTGAAGAGGAAGCGCTGGCTCATTCTATCCTCAAGAAACAGGCGCTTCCCCGTGCGAAGATCACGCACAAAGGTATTGAGAATATCGAGGATGTCAACGGTGCTACGCGTGATGTTGAGCGTGCGCGTGAGGACCAGGAGGAGGAAGATAGGATCGCGCGCGAAAGACAGGCTCGTTTGCGGCTCCAGGCTGAGCGTGCGCGATCTGCGAGCACGCAGGGTCAGGGGTCTGTTCCGCCTGAGTCTCCCGTTGTCCCACAGACTCCTACTTGGGGTGCCCCGCCTCCTGTTCCTTTGCATGCTTCGCACACAGATGTCAATGTGGGAGTACCTGGCATGGGCAGGCCTCCTGCGAATCCGCTGTTCGTACCGTCTGCGTCGGACTACCAGACTCCTGTAGAGGGCGAGCTGAACCTTGCCGACCTCATCAATATTGACGAGGACGTTCCGAACGATGTTCCCGCTACTGCACCCACACCGACGCCTTTCGGTGAGGATACCCCGCCGCCGTTCCAAGCGCACTCCCCTGGCGCACAAAGTCTGTCACCTCCCGGTGCTGCAGGTCCGACACCATCCACAGGGATGTCTCCGTTCGCGGCGAAGCCTGATTTAACGTCGCGCCCGTCGTTTGATCTCAATGCGTTATGGGTTCCTAAAGGCGATTCCCCTGGGCAGGAGCAATCGACTGAGCTTCAGGATGTGCCGATGCAGGATGGAGAGTCGGAGCCCACCGTTGAGCCCCACCCTCTGGGCGAGACGGCCGACGATCAGGACTTCGACATGTTCCTAGGCAAGGACGAAGAGGAACCACCTGCTCCACCACCAGTGGATAACAGTCCGGAGGGACTGCGTGCTGCTTTCGAAGCCCTTCCGAAAGTATGGACAGGCACGGTAAGCGTGACAACCCAATGCTATCAGTCTGACGTCGTACTGAAGTATCAATCGCAGCTGAGCATGCCACTGGATTCAGCGATGGCTCAAGACGTATCACTCAATGCTCGCCAGTCTGGTGGGCGGGCGCTGGAGGACGGCTCGCCTCTTTGGCAAACCTTGTTACCCTCCAAGGAGCTTCGCATTGATGGCAGAGTGCCCGTGGACAAATCCGCGCAGTACCTCACGCAGATGCGCTTGAACCCATTGAAAGAGCTCATAGCGGTGGCCTTCTCTCCTGAGCCTGGCCTTGGCATCGAGGGCACGGGCTTCAAACTTCTGATTGATCACTTGACAGCGAAAGGGTACGAGTGCCTTTGCCACGCACACTTCTGATTGCTGACCACACCGTGTTCTCTAGGCGTCATGGACTCGTATTCCCTTGGGGAAACCGACCGAAAGACTGGGCACCAGGCCGTGAGCTGTACATCATTCCCCTTCTGGCTTCCGATCCGATCCCCGAATACATGGAGCTTCTCGACGACCTTCGTCTTCCCAAACAACGCACATCCAACTATCTTGTCGGAATATGGGTTCTGAACAAGGGCAAATTAGCACCGCCCCCACCGACCTCTACTCCTGCGCCGCATCCCTTGGGCCCGGGCGCACCTCCCATCCAGTTACCTCAATCGCTCCTGGATCTTCTTCCCTCCTTCGTTCCCCAGCCTCCATCTCAGCCTCAGTTTTTTGTACCACCCCCTACGCAGCCGCCTGCTACGAACTCTGCCCTGGCTGCAGAGGTGGCGCAGCTGACTCCCGAACAGATACAGTTGATGTTGCGCACGTTGACTTCGACTACGCTTGCACCACAACAGCCTACTATATCCGGACCATCACAGCCTGCCATCCCAATTGTCCCGCATATACCCCCGGCGGCCAGTCTACTACCGCAACAGCTACCACCCGGCCAACAGCAGCCCATACCCCTGCAGCCGTGGCTCAACCCGGCAGCCATCTACCCACCGCCATTTCAATCTCCCCCGCACAACATGTATCCCGGTCAAGGCCCGCCTCCGTCACATCCTTATCCTGAGATGCATCAGGACTTCTACGAACGCGACCGACCGGGTCCACGTGGGCGGTTTGACGGTCCTGGTGACCGTGGGCAGAGAGGAAGAGGACGGAATCGAGGAAGGGGACGCGACCGCGATCGCGAGCATGAGAGGCCGAGGGACTCTGGGTGGAAGAGCAGAGGGCGTGGAAGAGGTGGTGGTGGCGGTGCGTCTAGTCCGCCGCGAGGTCGCGGACGGAATGACCACCCGGATGGAGTTGATGTGGTTGCGTCTGCTGTTGTCCTGTCTCGTTGATCTATTCTTGACTTATTCTCCGTTGTCGCTGTATCAATAGTGTCGTTCGTAGCTAGTAACGTAGTCGTTGGTCGCCGCTCGGACTCTTCTTTCCCTACCGTATGAACTCACAGCGAAAGTGTATGATGTTGCACGAAGTATGAAGTATGTCATTGCAATGCTATGCAATCTTGTTGAATTCGACAAACATCTGGAGACACTTCCAGCAGCCATGAATTGAGTATGGTGGATTCATACGTATGGTGCTCCCGTTGTTATTTTTGGTATGGTGAAGTCAGTCCAACAAAGCTCAACCAGATCATGCAGATAGATTGTCGAGCGCGAGGTGTGCGATGGCGACGCTCGAAGTACAGATGAGACCTGGCCATGTTAGGGTGGCATTCAGCTATCTTGCTTCGCGACCTGTATTCAAAATGACATACCCAGCCAAATCAGCGTGTGGATCTTGGCGGTGTTGTACACATTTCGCTGGTGAACAGGCAAAGATCGGAAGATGTACGGATTGATGCAACTGAGAATGGCACACCTTTGCAGGATCGCCGGTGCTGTAACCAATAGTGTAGATGAGACGGGAGAAAGACCAAGTGCCACACAAGGTGGCTGCGAGGATTGGGTACTTCGCAGCGGTGATGACGGTGCTTTGGAATACCTGATCAGTGTGGTTGGACTCCTCTGAATAGTGCCTGGCATACCAGGTGATCACGGCCGGTAAGTATTCAAGCGTATTCTGTGCAGCGCCTACATCCCGAATCATGTCAACTCTTAGAGAACACTCAACGGTGCCATGAACTTAATACGTTGGGTGCAGTTGAAGATCATCGCATCCTTCGACGCGGCCGCTTCCGCCTTCTCGGCATACACTACCGGGTAGTACCCATTCAACCTCGTGATAGATGCAAGTCAAGTAAGGCTCACCTTGGGGATACTCTATTGCAGCCCGTTTCCTCGCGCTGACCGTTTTAAACGTCTGGTAGAATGTTAGCCAGCATGTCGACACGATCGCCGCAGCGGGGTAGATCGCCCTGAGTAGGTTGAATCAGAGTTGAATCAGACGTCGGCATTTACTACAGACCAGCATGAGTATATAACTCACTGGTGAGATGCAGTGCCAGTGACAAGCATGGTACTAGATTGTGAGGTGCTATGTTGTTTGTGCAGCAACAGCGCCGTGAGCCTAGGACTCGGCGGAGAGACATAAGCTTTGAGAAGCTCTATATATATCCCGGTCTAGTCGAACTGGGCTGAGGTCCCAGCGCATCGAGTTACCATTCAGTTTACACCGTCGCTAAGACTGTGCTTACTCACCTGGAAGAGTTCGTCGCATTGGTAAGGGACCTCAGTAAGCGAGGCAGGCGGCAAGTTCGCAGCATCTACACACCCTATCATCGAGACGTCGAACACCTCTAGGCTCGAGCCGCTATTCAGATGGACACAGTAGCCAGAGTACAGCCAGGGTCGCTCACGGAAGTCAGACGGTCTGGAAAGCCCGACGTGCGCACTTCGAGAATGCGGAACCACACAAGCGCTAGACAAGGAATTCGCGAGCCTCGTCCATAATATGGGTCTGTTATACGTCCTCGCGCCCGAGCAACGTCGCCAGCTGCTCAGTGAGTTGCATAACCATCATGCCATCTTGTACTGTGATCAAATCATTCAGAACTACTGCATCACAAGCTTACTGGCAAAGGGGTCTGGTTCAAGGACGTGATTGAGTCCATGAGAGCAAACCTAGCAAGGCCTACTGTTGATTGGTACAAAGCGTCCGATGTGATGGCACGATGCATTCAGCTTGGTGTTCTTCATCGGTCTCGTTGCCAAAGTCAGGCTCTGAGACGTCTCGTTCCCTACCTCACTTGTAAAGTAGAGGTTAATGGCACTGCTTGTCCCGGACCCTGGCCGATCGTCCGATATGTCAGAGGTAAGTACACCAGGAACCCGCCTGCTGTCATGACCTTCGGGCATAACTTAGTATCTATGGTGGCCAAGCCAATAAATAGGGCCTAGGATGCGAATGAAGAACAGAAAGTCGAGGTAAGGAATGATAATTTAGAGGAACACTCCTCTTGTATGGAGGGCAGTGCATCGATAACAGACCGGATAAACCGACAACTGGGAGAGACCCCGAGTTAGTACGCGCACCGGCACTCAAGCTGCATCACGCACAGTGAATCGCGCCGAACCATTGCGAGACTCGTTACTGGCTCTTCAGACCAGTAGGAACCCCGAACACTTCCTTGACATTAACGGCGAGCAGCATCGCGCCGGAGAGCCATTCGGGGGCGATGTGCAGCGAGTAAAACAGCGCCTTCGCCATGGGGCCATTGAGCGATCCTGGCGCCATTGACAATAGCGAGGTGGTAGAGTTGGACATCGCTGCCAACCTATACACGCTAGGGATCATCTACTCACAGGTAGGCGAGAAAAATCAAGGTAATGAGCATTCGTTGTGAGAGCCGAGTGTTAGTACTCACAATAATACAGAGCATACTGCAGAGATACAGCGCGGGCCCACGAGGTATCCGATTCGGCCGCGTCGACAAAGCCCAAAGGACCTCGTACAAGGCAACGAGCTGTAGGAACAGCACGATGATCGTTGAGGCATAACTGTGGCACGTGCAAATTGTCAGAAAATGAATATACGCGTTCCTCTGTGCAACGCACTTCATTGCCCGAACGACTTTTGCCACGGTTTCGTTCGTGATACCCGTAAAATACAGACCGCCGGATACGGAGCCTAGGGCAATTGCTTGTAAGCGCAGCACCACGGAGGCTATCCCATATGCTCAAGTAGAGCACGGAGTTTCGGCTCGTCCTGGAAGGTTTCCTGCTCGACAGTCGGCAATTTACTGTAAGACGAGCTGTTACTGGTATGTCCAGACAGGCGCATCGGCTTGAGCGGTTGCTCTTCCTCTAAGGGAAGAAATGTGCGATCTTCGAAGGCCTGCGGCGGGATCTCCACAATGAAGGAAGTGCCTTTTAACGCCTTCACGACAAACAGCCGCGCGATGTTGTTGAGGTCCTGCGTCGTGCTTAGGAATCCCAAGGCATACGCGCTCTGCAGCCAAGAGACGAAGAAATTTGTCGTGCGGATGTTGGGTTTCTGAGCCTCAGCGGCACGAATGGCGAAGTCAGCTATCCTATGAAGTCAGGTGCCATTAGGTTGAGAGGATCACATACACTGGACAGAGTGTACTTACCGCTCTACCGAGAAAGTCACAGTCCCGATGTACGAGAGCGACCGTGACCGTTTGTCGATCATTCGCCAGACTGCAACTGGAACAGTCAGAGCATAGAGAATTGTAAAGATCAAGGCAGGCGTAAAATCATGAGGGAACGGAATGCCTCCAATGGGCGATGGAAACTTGTGTTCAGAAGACATGGAACAGACGGAGAAAGGATGAAGAAGAAGATAGTACTGGCATTCGATGGCGCGGCGTTGCTCTTTTATTCAATGTGCGAAGATGCTGCGCCGTGGACGTGGATAGACTACCAGTAACAACCACCGCTGCAATTGAGATGCATGAGGCAGAGTCGCGGTGTTGGCCCATCGCCGCTCCTTGTCCACAGAGGACGCCGCAGTGAGTGTCGTCAGCCGCGAGTGCCTCGGCCGTGACTCGGTGATGGCTAGAGACAAATAGACGTCGTTCAACGTTCATCGATGTAGCGACGCGCATCCATATGCGATAGTGGGGTGTCTCACACACAGGACGCACCTGACTGGAAATCCCCGACTGCGACCAGAACGAGGGAGGGTATTGTACTTGCGAGGTCGTTACGGTTCTCTGCGAGGAAGGATACACACGGGCTGAGGATCATTCGCCCATACACGGTTGATCCGTTGCCATGACTAGACTTGATCTCTCCCTCTGATATTCATATCCAGGCCGCAGGCTTCGACCTGTGCAATTCGCAGATTTGACGGCGTGATGTTCACGTCCAACTCTATTGACAGCGACGTCGACGCGTTGACGTGACCGAGGCTTGCCCGTGCCAGTATGGCAACCTCGTACGTGAATCGCCTGCTAGAGCTGGTCAGGCGACATATCACTAGATTAACTTGGAATCCAACATCGACACATACTGACCTGACACTCACCGAGATGCAACCAACCGCCGTGTGGTACTGAGACTAGCGTGAAGCGCTAGGCGTCTAAGTGGCTGTTCAACGCACCAGGAACATACACCATGACATGTCCGACAACTCCCTTGGCCGTGCACCCGCGCTATCCGCGAAGACGACCTGATATTCGTGGTGTGAATACCGCGGGAGTCAGACTCAGCGGACGAAACTTATGGCCTGGGACTCTGGAGATTCACTGTCACGACGCTGGCACCGACAACGTCTGGTCCCGTCGTCTTGGCTCCTCACGGAATGAGCACATTCTGCGCATGAGCATGGTTTCGATATCTAGAACACACAGTGGGACATACGCCTGTCCGAGGAGAAGTGTTCGCTCACATCCGTCGTGTCCGAAGCTCGTCTCAAGGCTCTGTAACATTTGTCGAGCTGTTGATCACCGAGGTGTGTACGGTAGAGCCTGATGTTTACAACTCGCAAGGTGGTACTTCGTATGAGGCTGCCATGACAATCTACGTTACAGATGTGTCAGCGTTGAGAGCTAAGGGGAGGAGGCAAGGAGAATCCTTGAGAGAAGATAATGCGATTTCGCTGTACAGAGCCAAGGACGCTCCGGCTGCTCCAAGAAGTCGATCAACCGGCGCGAAGTTTTGTGACACAGATTGACAGATTGACCCCGGGCCAGCGAACGTCCAGGTCAACAAGGAAAGCACGGCCTCCCAAGCCCATGATCCAGTCGTGTACCTATACCACTCGCATGCCGCTAGGGTCAGCATTCACCAACCTCAGAAGACAGCACTCACCAGGATGCCTGACGAAATGTGATAGAGACCGTCTGGCATGTCGTCGACATTGTTCAGGCACCAGGCGTCGGGATCAGAAGTTTCAAGATATTCCATGGGCAGCCAAGCTAAGGATTATGCACCTGTGGACGAACATGTATGCGGTGTATAGTACATTGCAAAGGAAACGGAACAGAGACATGAAACGAGGACCCAACAGGAAGTCTGGCATACACAAGGCCTGTCATATAACACCATTCTTGACCTACAAATGCACACGACCATGACTTCCGGAGCAGGATGCATCGATAACATGGCTATCGTACCTTTTGCATAAACCCTGATACACGACCAATATCCACAATCTGCGCCTCGCTCTCTACAGCGACGACAAGGTTCTCGAGCATCTGGCAAATGTAGCCATCATTTAAAAAGCACATTGAAAGCGTGGTCAGCGCAACGCACCTCCTCGACTTTGTCGATCGGTACGCCCGTGCAAAGCGCCACGATTTTCTTGCACTGAAACTCCTTCTCCGCACTGGCGCCCTGCAAGGACCGGAATCGCGCGTCCACCAACCGCTCCGCCCGCTCATGCCACAGCTTCATCCTACGTAACCTGATTAAGCTCGCCGCGGAGTCCACCGTCGGTACTGGCGGGTCCGCATCCAGATTGAACGATAGGTCGACCGGACCTGCGCCCGTCATCGTGTACGTCGCCCCCCTCAAGCGGAATGCGGGCCCAGCCACCACGCCGGCGTCGGATCCGTCGAGCTCTCTCCGGCCCGTCCATTCAAACTCGTCCTCGTCTTGAAGCGCCTTCTCGAGGTTCCGTATTCGCTGGTTGACTTGGTCCATCTCGCCGCATCGCTGCGTCCACGACTGAATCTGTTTTCGTTGTTCTGAGAGCTCACGCGTTGCCGCGCGCAGGTGTGCTTGCGTGACATCGAGCGCGTCCTGCTTCGTCTTAACCTCCGCTGAGAAGTCATTTCCCAGCATTTGGACCATGGCGGTCATCTCTACGTAGTTTCATGAGACCAGTGATAAGGCAACGACGCAGGGTACATACCAGCTAGCACGTCCTGACTTTTCAAGACGGGAGCAGAGGGCCCGGATCGCAGTGAATTGAGGATGTCCTCAGCGCGAGGTCCACCACCCAGTTCCTATTAACGCAGCCGAATCACATCAATACACAGTCATAGTACAGCTGCGACGAGTCCTACCTCCGTCTCAACACCGAAGTCACCGGGTCGCAAGCCAAGGTTATTGGGCAGGATTCGATTCGCCCCCACATCCAACAGTGTCCTCACCAGACTCCGATTCCCAACCCTCGCAGCGATATTCAGTGCTGTATCGCCATGCTCATCCTGCAGGTCCACAATTGAGCGGAACTCGCCGCCCTGGTGTTGTGCGATCCAGTAGAAGATCTGGTCGAGGTAATACCTCGCGGCCGACGCGCGCCCCTTCACACCCGCGGACGAGACGACATGGTGGATCACCGACTTCCTTGACGAGTCGAGTGTGCGGATGGACGGGTGCAGCGCGGCGACAAGCAGGTGGAAGCTCTGTTGGTCCGCGTTGTGCGTCGCGAGGCACGCTCGTACGAGTGCGGTCTCGCCGTTGTAGTTCCCGCGGTGCACGTCCGCGCCGTTCGCGACGAGCGCATTTACGATCGCATGCCTCGCCATACTCGCCGCCAGGTGCAATGCGGTATGTCCCTGGTCGTCCAGAACGAGGTCAACGTCCATGTTCAGCGCGGGATTGTCTGGCCCAATATCGCGGATCTGGTCCACGATGGGCAGGGGTTCGTCGCCTCTGCAGATGGCAGTCACAATCGCCGCTCTGCGTGAGTCGCGTAGAGGCGCCGCGGCGTCGGTTGTCCTTGGGATGTAGGGTTTGGATGCAAAGCGGATCTCGAGTGTGTCGGGATCGAGTTGTCCATCGGGTAGCTTACCATTGGGCATCAAGGACTGAGAACTGCCCGGGCGCGAGACACCGTTTCCCATGGCTGGCGTAGCTGCACGCAGGTCCTGTACCCCAGCAAGGCTAGGGTCTATAGCAGCATCTGGTGACGGGTCCAACCGCGGGCGCTTAGAGGGGCCCGCACCGTCCATCTGCGGCGAGATCGAAGGCGGGCGCGATTGGTCTGCCATTTGAATGTCAGGAGAACCAGCAAGGTGTGGCGTCTGCCGTGAAGGCGGGCGTGGGGAGGCTGCAGATGACTCGCCGTCAACATCTGACCGCGAGCGTTTGAGAGAAGGCGGTGGTGGTGTAGGGGATACATTGACTGTATGCTGTTGATATGCGGCTAGACACACAAGTTCCTCGCATATACTCAGGTTTCTGAGAAGCGATGGCTACGTACCTGAAGTTGAAGGGGTGAATAAACCTTGTGCACGCCCCTGATTCAATAAGCGAAGGGCAGAACCTGGCATAATTGGCGGGGGCGCAAGGCCAGCGGGTACAAAGTTTCCTACGAGAGGTGTTAGCAAGTGGCCAGATAGGTGTGAACGAAAGAATTGAGGATAAGAAGGACAGGGTGAAATGTAACGTAGTTTCTGCGGTGAGTATTCATGCGAGATCTGCGTGCAGCTACCCGCCGACGTGGGCCTCATAGCGCCACTGGGCAGAGAGGCAGTATGCTCTCTGTTCGGGCAGTATATGTAGTGTATTGCGAGGATAGAGCGTTCGCGCCCTGTCACTCGCACATCGTGACGTTGCGGGGAAATGGAGGCTAAGAGCAGCCCCTCATGCAGTCGCTTTAAACAATGCAATGAGGTACTAACCTGACGTGATATTAGGCAACCCAGCTGGAAGGCCACCGAGAGCATTGGCGTTGGGAACGAAGTCGAAGAGAGGCGCGAGTAGAGGTGCGACGCCATACTGCACAGCAATGTCACGGCCCCTCTCGAGGGGAATCCTACTCAAGTATGAGCGGAAAAAGTGGAGGAACAGATGTAACACGTACCATGTGCCTTGATACTTGCCATACCCACCCTGTACAATCTCGTGTTTCCCTGGCAGGATCTCCTTCTCGAGAATCTTGGTACGGCGTCCCTTGTCAACGCCGGCGACCTTGAGGATTTGGGTCGCGTTCACGTAGGAATCGGTGCGGCGGCGCATGACTGCGATGCCGCGCACCATGCATTCGTAGACCTAGACGACGCGACGCGTTAGGGCGTGTCTGTAGAGGAAGAGGGAAACGCACCTGGACGGACGAATAGACGGCATTATAGATCTTGACAGGCTGCTGCTGGCCCGGGGCGCGCGCGACGGCCTGCATACTGGCGGCGTCGTCGGGGTCGTCGAGGATGGTCGTCGGGCGGAGGCGGGTCTGGGGACTCTCACGTCGTCGCGCGCCGAGACGCGCTGCAAAGCGTGTTGGCGGAGCTCGAAATCCGCCACCGTCTGCCCTCGCCACCACCGCGACCGCTTAGGTAAGCAACGCGTGGACTGTGCCCCGACGCCCGACAGTCGTCCTCACAGCGTCCCGTCGTCGTCGCCGGCCTCGTCGCCACCGCCCACACCCTGCTCGTCGCTGCCGTCGGCCCTGCCTCAGCGCGCGCGCGCCCCGCCGGGATCATCACACACGTCACGCGCCGGGCACGAGCGCACAGCCGACCGCAACGCCTGCCTAAAGCGGCCTGCCACAGGCGTCCGTCGACTATCGCGAGCGCGAGCTCAAAGGCAACGCCGAGGCCAACATGTTCAACGCCCCCCGCCCGTCGCAGCCGTACGGCGCGTCGCCCTCCAACGGCTTCGGTGTCACCAGCTTCATGAGCGAGAACCCCCTCGCGAGCTCAATCTACGACGACGGACTCGACCCGTGGAGCAATTCGCCCAGTCCAGCGCCCCAGCCCGTCCCATCTTTCCCGGCTGCCTCATCGGGTCTCAGCTCGGTCATTGGTGAGCCGTCTATGTCTGCGTATTGCATGTAACAACACTCAGACGCGCTCCGCAGGCAATGCTTCCGTTCCGCCAATATACATCCAGGCATTCGCTGCGGTGGACGATACGAATACCGGCGAGACATCCGTCAGTGCGCTCTCGCGAGTGCTGCGCACATCTGCTCTCCCAGCATCCACCATCGACAAGGTGCGTTTCCTTTGTGCCGTGTCCGACACCTCACCGACAGGCATAGATCGTGAGCTTGGTCAGTTCGCGGCCCCGCGTGTCGAGACTCGAGTTCTTTGTCGCACTCGCGCTCGCTGCCCTGGTACAAAGCGGCAAAGGTATGTCGCCCTCCGTGGCCCGAGCACCGCCAGCTGACAGCAATACCATAGATGTGAGCATCGAACGTGTCGCCCAGCTAGCGCAGGAGGACGCACTACCTGTCCCCACCCTCGACTTGGCTTCATTACCGCCGTCGACCTCCGCATTCAGCCCTTACTCTATGCCCGATCCCGCGCGCAACGTGGCACCGCGGAACTACACGGCCGATGACCCATGGAGCGTCCCCAAGTTCCCTTCATCAACAATAGCCTCGCCGCCTGTACTACCTATCACAAACGGGGCTGGCAGTGTAACGAATGGTGGGTCTTCGAGCATTGCCGGCACGGGTCTCCCGAAGGAATGGTGGCGGAAGCAAGAGACGATCCACGTCAACATACTCGGCCAACAAGGCTTCCTTCTCAACCGATACCTCGCGTACGAGGTGACGAGCGATGTGAGACTGATCAGTGTGAGTAATGCACAAGTGCTCATGAATGTGTTCGATAGCGAGGCGCACCTGTGCCGAGGCGCTACTCCGAGTTTGTATTTCTCTGGGACTGTCTCGTCAAGCGCTATCCGTTCCGATTGCTTCCAGCGTTACCTCCGAAACGTGTGGGACGTGAGTACAGACGTTTTGTTTGATGCAGTACCCTGATGACGTTGGTGTTGACTAGCGGATGAGAATTTCCTGGAACAACGAAGGTGAGTGTGCATGTTGCGCTGCCGTGTTATTCTGACCACACAACAGAAAGGGCCTGGCTCGATTCCTCAACTTCGTAGTGTAAGTAATCCACCATCGCTCGTTCGCCTATTATTCATACATTGACACGACAGGAACCATCCTATCATCAAGGACGATGGCATTCTCGCAGTTTTCCTTACCGAGCCCTCCTTCGAAGCATGGCGGAAGCACACCTCTATCTATTACGAGGAAGAGTCCGCCAGCAAGCGCGTCGACCGCGTCGAGGAAATGAGCATCCCGAGCGACCTCGACGACAAGCTCGCGTGCGTCCGCCACGCCCTTCCCGCCTTCCATGTGAGCTCACGCACCCACAGTTCCGTCCGCGGCAAGGTCGGCTACCTCATCGAGCACTGGCAGCGGATCAGCATGCTCGCCGAGCGCATTATCCGGAGACGCGAGGCAGAAGCGGTACGGGTCCCTCCTCTCGTCCGGCGCGCGTACCTCCCGGCTCACTTCGCGTTGCCCCCGTTCGCTTCCCCGTCCGCGTCCACTACCTCCTTTACACCCGCGCCTGCACCCGCGCCCGCCCCGTCGTCCCCGTCGGACACGGATTCGCTCGCGTCTTCGATCTTTGGCGGCTTCGCGCGCGCGCGAATCATTGACGCGCAGGCGGACCTATCGAGACTGACGAACACGGCAAAGAGTCTGGTGGAGGTGAATGAGCGGTGCTGGCGGGGCGACGAGTGCGAGCTGTGTGCAGGCGTCCGGCAGGGGCTTGTCGATAGTGCGACGCACATGCAGAGGCATTCAGATATGCTTGAACATCGGGTACGTGGGCGTGATATACGAATGGGAACTGGCGGGCTTACTGGATCGCAGTCACGGACGATGTTGTATTCCACACTGGAGGCGCTTAAGGTAAGGCTTGCAATAGCTTGACAGAGTACGGTCGTGTGTTGACTCTTCCCGAAGGGACAACGAGACTTGTACATCGCCCTCCGAGATCTGTTCATACGACACGACAGGCTTTCGGGGGACCAGGTCGACCGCCTCAAGAAGCGCGTCGACACGAACTCCATGAAACTGGAAGGCATCAAGCAGGCGCACAAAGAGGGGTGGGAGCAAGAGGCAGACAAGTACACTGTCCTCATCGAGAAGGACCAGGCAGCGATCGCAGCTGCACTTAACAGGAGAGTATTCATCCGCGCCTGGTGAGTATCCGGCTCGTTCCCAGCGGTTTGTCGTACCCGTCCTCAACGTCGCCCACAGCATGTGGCACGAGCTGCGCGTCGTGCTGCACAACCGCGAGAACACGTTGGTCTCGCAGGCCGTTCAGGCTTTCACGCGGGAAGAGCTGGACTTCTCCGATCCGCCGTGGCGAATTGGGCTGCGATGGCGGAGGCTGTGGAGAGCATGCCTTACGAGTGATCAGATATTTGAGGAGCACATCGTGCTTACTCTCGGGTCGGGGAAACGGACGGTGCTTTTAATTTGATGACTGCGTGCTCCATTCACAATGCATTTGATACCGATACCATACAGTCTGACTACATGTCTTTGGATGACCTCGTTTAACATAACTCATGCTATGATGCTATCACATATGGAGGTAGCATGACGTCGCCATGCTTCACTTTCAAGCTCAAGCTTCAAGTCTCGAGCGCGAGCAAGAATATGCCTGTCGGACGGCGTAGAAGATGTCATGAGAGCGGGTTGGTTATGGTGGGATATGCGCAGCAGGCCGGTGGCTGTCCAGCTGAGTACCCTCGTCGCAAAGGTCACGATGCTTCATTCTATTGCTTGGAGTGCTGCTGACGACGTCTGGGACAGCGAAGTGCATGACACTTAGACTCCCCGTGCCAAGTCAAACCTTGGAGACGCGAATAGGACGGGGCCTGCGACTTGGAGGCGGCGATACGTGATGAACCACCGCCGCCCGCCGGAGCTGCTTTCTGGGAGAGAAACATCACAGGTGAGCCCTTCCGCAGCACCTGCAGCGTGTCCAGTTCTGACCTATGGTATATCCTACCACCGGGTGCGAGATATGTCTGTACGGTTAATGACGTACGCGATGCATAGCTCCGTGGCATGCATCTCACTCTTCATCTTGTTGTCTCGACCAGAACCCCTCTCATACGGATCGTTGATCTCCGCAGGATCCAAGATTGAGAGGGTTACTTCAAGATGTCAACCGTCCAACTGATCATTCGTATTCTATGGGGCACTTATGCGTCACGGCTATGGACTTCCGTTCTAGAGGTTGGTCCGGCTTTGAACAGACTCGCATCTCATCCTTCCGCCGGCGGGATATATGGGTTAGTGCTCGCCATCCTGGAATCGATCGCTTGTACACAGGAGTCCGAGCATTCCGGCGAGGAACCTACATGGAAAATGTGAATCGCAGCGAACATCTATCCTGTTCAAGTCCGAGTCCACGTGATTTCACGCCATATGGTACATACAGTCTTTCCATCATCACCGACTAAGATCGAGACTTACGCAGCCACTATGTACTAGAGCCCTTTTGCATCACATCTGAGTATTCCCTCGAGCTCTGGGGCTGACAGACACAGCACTTCATATCGCATCACAGTCACAGACGATGATATCTGCCGCCTTGCCCCCCGGGGCGCCGCAATGGAAGCGCAACTCTGTTATCTGCCACACGGAGCCAGGATGTCCTGGAGGTATGCCATAAGGCCTAATCGAGCGTACCGGGACGACGTGCCAATGATATGGAGAACTCACCTCGCAGACCGAGGCATCCATATGGTTACCGATCGGAGGCTAAGATAGGCGTAGATTTCACAAGGTGAGTTCGACCCGCGTCTTCGAAACTCACGGTGCGTAGGAAGGAGACTTGTTTAGTTCAAGTACTGTGCCGCGCTGGTAGGTCCGCGCTTCTATCGCAGAGGGCCTGCCGCAATGAGGTGAGTTTAGTGTTCCAGCAACACGATATAACGCCGATTCGGCTGAGCAAGAAGGATATTCCTGTATGGGCAGCCTACTGCTCGGTACGTCGGCTCGCTATCCTCAGAAATGCTGCCAGCGATTCCATATCTTGCAAGGCGCGTTTATTTTGAGGGTGTTCGCCAGACATTTCTGTATGTCATTCGTGGGTGCATATCAAGTGCAGCATGAGGTTTGGCTGGGAAGAAGGTAAGGCCAGAGGTCCAGTGAGCTTTGCTTTGATTGAACTGACAGTGGGCCGCATGTCACGAAAAGACACTACTTGTGGTTGCGCTCGGCGCTCGTCACTTGCATGAGGCCGCCGATTGGTAGTAGTCCCGGCTCGGGTGGTTCCACGCGCGGCGGACTGCGTGCCTCACGGAGGTCTTCGAGGCTGCCTTGTGCTAAATCACTCGCCGTAGCCCGCCAGTGTATGCTTTCCGCAGGAGAACTGTGACGTTGAATGGTGAGTACCCTATTTACCGTGCACGAGGATCATGAGTATCTCACTACAGCTGATAGCATCGAAGGCCTCCGTGTCGCGTACGGTTGTGAGAAGACCACATGCCGAAGTGTCTTCTGAATTGTCGCAGCGGGTTCCCTGGCGGTCTCAATCATCGAGACAGCGGGGGAGAGCTATATAATGACCTCGTCGACTGGCGCCTGGTCTTTAGGCGATCCTCCGCTTCCCCTTCGCATCCCGCGGTCGACAGGCAAGAGTCTCCACCGTCAGAATGGCAGCACGCTCTTTCTCTCGTTTGGTCACCCTTGTCTCTCTCCTCTGTAGCACCGCGTTCGGCGCCTTTGGAGCACCCTCCGCTACGGAAGAGCATAGCGTTGCGCCTCTCAGGAAGCGCTTCACCCCTTCTGCGCCGTACTTTGTCGAGTATTTCGACAAGGGCACGTCAGGTATAACAGGCGCGCCCAATGTATCGGACGTGACGGTACGTGCTAGATCGTCCAAGGCGGAAAGATTGGCTCTGACGCAACATCTCAGGGATACAATGTCTTGTGTGTGCACTCCTTTGATCGCCGAGAGACTCTTTATCGATGTTTTCAAAAATCTCAGCATTATCGCGTTCTTGCTCACTGAGGGAGCTTGGGACAACGCTCAAGGCTGGTCTTCGCTGACAGCGGACGAACGCAGCTCGACGAAGACAGCCTATAACAATGCTGGAATCGCGCTTATGGTGTCCTGCTTTGGTTCCTCTGACACCCCGACGTCCAGTAATGCCGATCCGACTGATACGGCCAACACGATGGCGGCATGGGTGAAACAATATGACCTTGACGGCATTGACGTTGATTACGAGGTGAGACAGGCGTATCGCTTTTCACTTACATTCCTCTGATAAGACTTGCCCTAGGACTTCGACGCGTTCGACGCCGGGACTGCGGAAGCATGGCTCGTTACGTTCACTACTCAGCTGCGCAACCAGCTCCCTGCGGGCGACTACATCATCACGCACGCACGTAAGTAACGTTCTTCGATCAGACGAAATTGGCTATAGAACTTCAATCTACGATATGCAGCTGTTGCGCCTTGGTAGGTTGACAGGCGTTGCGTTCCTTGCGCACGAAGCTTATTCAAGCGCTTTAGGTTCTCGTCAAGCCTATGGAGCAACGGCGGCGGCTACCTCCAAGTGAACAAAGTAGTTGGTAACTTAATTGACTGGGTGAGACAATATCTTTCGAACATAAGTCCTCGATGTTGACGTGGTCTACCAGTATAATGTCCAGGTGAGCATCTCTGTCGTTTTGCAGCACGCTCAAAAGAGAATTGAGCGTCTCTGTCTCTTCCTACACGTGATGCAGTTCTACAATCGTCAGTCGCTCATTCTCGATCCTATGTAGTATGAAGCTCATGTTCATTGTGCGATTCAGAGGGCACCTCAGAGTATACCACATGTGATGGTTTACTCACGAACTCTAGCTCTACCTGGCCGGAGTCAGCTCTCTTCCAGATCATAAGCAGCGGCGTCGACCAGGCCATGCTAGTCATTGGTAAGCCTGCAACGTCAGGCGATGCTAATTCAGGCTACATGAGTTCCTCTACTCTGGCCACATGCGTTGAGCAGGCCAAAAATCAGGGTTGGGGTGAGACTCGCGTGACTTCACTTGCGCACTACAAGCGGTACTGATGTGTTTGCGTTGTACAGACGCCGGTGTCATGGTCTGGGAGGTATGTTGCGACATACACGATATCAACGAATGAGTGAACTTACATACTTGCAGTATCCCGATGCTGGGACGCCGTGGATCACGGCGGTGCGCGCAGATTCTTGGCCGGTCTCGTAAGTTGGCCGCCCACAGTAACTGCTTGAAGGTGAGTTATTGCGATGGTTTCGCACTCACCTCGGATGCTTATCGGAGTATCCTCAGATACCCAGTCAGCCACGGAGCCGTCTGGAAACGGTCTCTTTGTACATGTCTCTCCTTAACACCGAACTACCAGTAGAGGTTTGTCGCACGACGCACAGGGCGTTTCTGGTCGATGTTTCACTGTATAACAGGTGTATTTGCATCATGTATGTGGTTTTAAACAGAGAATTGCCGTAGTAATTCTCGTTTTACGCGTTGGCTCTGAAATAGTCAATCTGCCAGTACCAAGTTACTACCTGCGATGAACCTGCGACGGAGAACACGATATGTACCCGGCAAAGGCCGGCCGAGGCAAGGCCGGAGGAGGACGGTCTCCAGCCGCAAGTCAAGCGCGTGAGCTTGTTCTCAGCCACCACTATCGACCTCGCCAGAACCTGCAAAATGCGCACAGAATGCAGCAGGTATCGTCTCAATCGTTCAGGTTGACCGCTGCAGCCTAGAATGCACTCTTGCATGCCCCAGCATCGCCCTGAGTCCAGACCTTCCACGCGTTGACACGTACGAAGAATCAATCCTCCGTTCCTCATGCTCAAGCACGATATTCAATCGTTATGGTCCAAGCTGCGCAATAGGGTTGGTCTGCACCTGCTTCGGAAGATAAAATTCTATTGACCTCGCTTCTATCGCACCCGTACCTGCCTCGACGGCCTCTGTACCATCCGTTCTGTCCATCATTGGAAGTGCTTATCTGACCTGTAATAGAGGGCCGCCATGTTCTTCGGTGCCGGCGCAGCAAAGAACACTCGGAGAAGATCTGCGTGTCTAGGTCTCGGAATGCTCGACCTACTATGCCGATAATGCTCTCGTTGGACGAGCTAACGACTCCACGCGTACGCTTGATCACTTTCCGACATCTGCGACCCCCTTATCGCCACTGCCGACGCTCAGGTCTTGCAAAAATAACCACGTCGCAGTGCTACAGGGAGAATTCACTCTGGTGCTCTGAATCTTGATATGTGCCTTCCTTCTACTCCCGACAGAGTAGTCCACGGGCTTCGAGAAAGGGGCTGATTCTGGCCATGCATACACTTGGCAAGCTTCGCATTCTGCAGTATGCTCGTCCTGCATGGGGCCCACTTTGTCTCGGCTCCATACTTATTTACCTGCTCGAGTATGTGCCATGCACGATGCAGGTACCGAAACTTTCCCTGGCGTAGTCTTTCAGATTTGATCCCCATTCCACATGCTTGAGTTACTGATAAACCCTCCTGGTTATTGTGCCACGCGTGTTGCGTAGAATGCGTGCCGTTCGGCCTCTGGACAGGTACGGAATGCTGGAATGCAGTGCCTGTGTAACACGCGCCGATGTATTGGTGATTGTTCAGTAGCCGTGTGGTGCGTTCTTTACTACAGCATGGGTTTGCCTATCATGACTGAATGGAACACGTTTTATGGTTTGCAGACTCGCAGTCCTCTGGAGGCACGTCATGGCAGACATACTGAACGCGACAGATATGGCGAGCCTCCATATTCATGCGTCGTTCTTAGAAGAAACAAGTACGCGTCTCTTCACAATACCGCCGATCATGCCAACATACTGGATCGCGCACTCAGCTACTTAAAGTCGCATTCTCGTACAGAGAATTTCAGCGGAGACATCCCTCAGCCTCTTCGCAAACCACCATACGGGTTTGGTATTCATCTCGGGTCTTGCTGACATGGTACTCATCACGCCCCTGATATCTACCGTCCTTTTGGGCCTCGTTGGCACGGCGGTGGTAGCTTTGCCCGTCAGTGTAGGCGAAAGTGAGGCCCGAGCAGTCGTATCCTCACCACCCCAGAAGCGTTACAGTCCTTCTGCCCCGTACTTTGTGGAATACTTCGACGCGTATGCGTCAGGGGTGACCGGTGCCCCGCCCGTCTCCGATGTGTCGGTGCGTTCCCAACCACCGCGTGTCGTTCTAAGCTGACTTGGATGTAGGGCTACAACGTCTTGTGAGTGTAAACGCCAATGCAACATGTTTCTCCTGGCTGAACGTGAACAATTGTTCAAGCATCCTCGCATTCTTGCTGATCGAGGGCGCTTGGGATAACGCCGAAGGCTGGACTGAGCTTACCGCGGATGAGCGCTCATCGACAAAGTCGGAGTACAACGACGCTGGCATCGCGCTCATGGTCTCTTGCTTCGGCTCAAGTGACACCCCGACAACGAGCGGCGCGGATCCAACTGGCACCGCTAATACCATGGCTGCTTGGGTTGTCGAATACGGCTTGGATGGGATTGATGTCGATTACGAGGTATGCGCCCACGTGCCCCTCATTTGTGCGATACATACTTACGCTTATCGCGGCTATACGGTAGGACTTCGACGCGTTCGATGCTGGAACCGCCGAGGCCTGGTTGGTGACATTCACGACCCAGTTGCGGAACCAACTCCCAGCGGGCGACTATATTATCACGCATGCACGTGGGTATCTTCCTTTCCTCTTCCCAGAACATGAGCTCATGTATACTTCGCAGCGGTCGCCCCTTGGTAGGCGACCCGATAATCATTCGATGACGACACTCATTATCGATAGGTTCTCGCCGAATCTATGGACGAATGGAGGTTATCTACAGGTGGACTCGGAAGTCGGCAGCTTGATTGACTGGGTATGTCATGTCTTTCAACTAACCTCGGGCGAGCGACTGATTCCATACAGTACAATATTCAGGTCAGAAAACTTAATCAATCGACGCACCTGTTAGTTGAAGCGTCCTCGACACCTGTTCAGTTCTACAACCGTAAGTTCTCTGACCTCGCTAGTAACTCAGCTGAGAACTGACGTCACATCGTTTGTGCGCAGAGGGTAGCACCGAGTACACGACGTGCTCCGGCCTGCTCGACGAGTCGAGTTCCACTTATCCCGAATCTGCGCTGTTCCAGATCTCGGCAAACGGTGTTACCCTCGACAAGCTTGTCATCGGCAAGCCCGCAACGACCGGAGACGCAAGTACAGGCTACATGAGCCCCTCCACACTGGCGACGTGCGTCGAAGACGCTATGAACGAGGGCTGGGGTGAGTATCTGAGCTCACGCGACGTAGCTGGATAACGTGTTGACCGGCATTCCCCCACAGATGCTGGTGTCATGGTTTGGCAGGTGGGTCCGTCACGGAATGCATAGGCCTGCATCGTCTGAACCGATGCTCGTCACAGTATCCTGATGCAGGCACTTCGTGGATCACCACCGTCCGCTCTGATTCTTGGCCCGTGTAAGTGTTGTGCATAGTGCGCTCAGCACGCACACCCGAAAGACGTGAGTACAAAATTTTGACCATGTCCCACCGACTCTGATTCTTCAGCTTTGATTCGCCAGCCCCTTTCCTTACGAAGCGCAATGTATTGATGTATAGGTATGTTCCTTGGGTAGATTGTATCGATTCGTCAATTGTCTAGATTTCTATGGTTAACGCATCTGTTTGGATCTGTTACCCCCAGTGGCATACTGCTTGATTAGTGAGGTAGGGAACGAGACGCCTCATAGCCTTGCTAAAGCAACGTGACAGATGAACACCACGCTGAATGCATCGTGCCGTCACATCGGATGCTTCGAACCAGTTAACAGTAGGCCTGCTGGTCTTGCTCTCCTGGACTCACTCGTGTCCTGGAACCGGATTACTCTGCTGGTAACCTTCGGAATGCAGTAGTACTGAATGATTTGATCACAGCAGAAGGTTGCATGACGACTAGGCGACTCCTTGTCCAGCGCTAGTGTGGTTGCGCATTCGATGAGGAGGGGCCCATTTACTCAGTCACTGTCCGTGGACTTTCGGAGCGCGCACTGACCAGGCTTTCCAGACTGTCTGATCGCCGTGAACGACTCTGTGGCTGTGCGCTGGCTACTGTGTCCGACTGAATAGTGGCTAGAGGCGACATCTCGATGTCAGCCTGAGGGCGTGTAGATAGGTGTAGATGCTGCGACGCCGCCTGTCTCGCTTACCGAAGTCCCTTACAAATGCGACGAACTCTTCCAGGTGAGTAAGCACAGTCCTAGCGACGATGCAGACTCAGTACTGAAGGGTAGTTCGATGCACTAGGATCATAGCCCGGTCCGACTAGACCGGGATATAAGGGCTTTAAATGACCATGTCTCTCCGTCGACTCTTTAGATCCACAGCGCTGTTATTGCACACTCTACATAGCACCCCACAACATCCACCATGTTTGTCACTGTCACTACATCTCACCAGTGAGTTCTATGCAGTGCCGCTCATGCTGGTCTGTAGTAAATACCGACGTCTCATTCACCCTATATACTCAGGGCGATCTACCCCGCTGCGGCGATCGTGTCGACATGCTGGCTGACATTCTATCAGACTTTCAAGACGGTCAAGGCGAGGAAACGGGCTGGAATAGAGTATCCCCAAAGTGTGTATCACGACTCCTTGTATCTGGTACAGGGCTCATGGGTACTACCGTAGTGTACGCCGACAAGGCGGAAGCGGCCGCGTCGAAGGACGCGATGATCTTCAACTGCACCCAACGTATCTGAAGTTCACAATGCTGAGCACTCTCTGAGAGCTGACATGATTCGGGGTGTAGGTGCTGCACAGAATACGCTTGAGTACTTACCGGCCGTGATCGCCTGGTATGCTAGACACTATTTGGAGTAGTCCTACCACACTGATTGGGTATTCCAAAGCACCACCATCACCAATGTGTGGTACCTGGTCCCTCTCCCGTGTCATCTACACTATTGGCTACAGCACCGGCGATCCTGCAAAGGTGTGTTCTCAGTTGCATCATACCACACATATTCCGACCTTCGTTTGTTCACCAGCGAAACGTGTACGGCGTCACCGCGATCCAAAATTCGTTGTGGCTGGGTATGTCAATCTGAATGCAGGTCGCGAAGTATGATAGCTGACTGCCACCCTAACATGGCCAGGTCTCATCTGTAATTCGAGCGTCGCCATCGCACACCTCGCGCTCGACAATGTGTTTGCATGATCTAGTTGAGCTGTGTTGGACTGACTGCACCATCTTACAAGACAACGGGAACACCATACGTGTAAATCCACCAGACTCAATTCGTAGCTTCTAGAAGTGTCTCCAGATGTTTGTGGATTCAACAAGTTGAGTCAAGATTGCATAGTGCTCTGGCCGAGCGTTTCAATGTGTACTGTGTTGCTCATAAGTACGTGTAATAAAAATGGCATGCAACGTGCAAGTGGGCCCCCGGCGGCGACGAACGATGGCTTGACCGATCGACGGCCGTGTTCAAGGAACTCGAATGCATTGTGAGTACTTGGAGGAGGACGCGTAGAAGACGCCGGTCGAGCTTTTTGGTCTGCAGTGGAGACTATTGACATGACTCGCGGTGTTATGGTGGCTGAGTGAGCTCAAAGCATCTCCGACCTGGACATGCACCGCCTTTGCTACATACCAAAGCGCAATCGGGGAAAGCAGCGTGCGGATGGACGACTGGCACACCTACGCGATTTCTTTCAATCCCTGTACACGGTGCATCACAGGAATCCATAAGTTCGGCCTGATGAACATCTGGGTTGAGTGCAGAAGTGAAGGATGTAGCTCGTGAAAGCCTACAATCATTGAAACATTTAGCGCACGACTCCCGTATCTTCTGCTCTTCATCCGCAAATATACCTGCCAAAAGTCCTCAATCCCGTCCCCACCTAGATCACGGGAACCATCGCTCGTGCCTCTGTGGAAGGGGCAGATTCTCGTCGATTTCATCCTCCAGTATCGGGACCTCGTCTTCGTCTTCCTCCACGAACTCGTGAGGCATGCGCACTTGATACTGGCCATTAGCCCGCTGCCTACCCTCCGGATGCGAGCGCACACAGAGGCGCACGCGGCTTCCTGCAGCAATGGCAGTCCGCCCGCGATGGCCTCGACAAACCGTCTGACCACTCAAAGACAACGAGCGTGACGACGAGGCCAGGTCGGTCACTTGCGAGCTCGGCAAGCGCGTTATCCAGAGGCGCAAGAGCCATCCGCAGGGCGTCCGGTGGGGCGGGATCTTCTTCCCAAGTCAACCCAATCTCAACGCCCTCCAAGGCCCGCGAATTGAGCTGCCGAATGACGTGGCCCATCCACACCAAGTCTTCCGCCGTGGGTGCACCCTCAAAGTCGTAGTGATCCGTGAGCATCAACACACGCAACCTCTTGCAGTGCCCGAGCCCGAGGTCGATCTGCTCGACCTCCTCCGACGGGTATCGCCCGTACAGCTCAAGGTGCTCGAGCGTAGGTCCCGCCCTTCGTATCGTCTCCCGTATCATCTCCTGAAGCACCTTCTTCTCACCGATAGCGGGAGAAACGAAGTGCGACATTTGCGCCCCGTTCCATCCGAGGCTCAGATAGCGAAGGGGAAGCTTGGGGAGGCCATGCAGAAGCCACATCAGCGGGAAGTCGGTGGAATGATGCCACGTGAGGGCGCGAAGCTCCATCGTTGGTGCCGGAGGCGCGACTGTGGTTGGGTGGACTCGAAGCGAGGTGACCTCGGCGAACATCACCGAGCGGAAGTGGAGCGCGTGGAGGCCAGGCAACGCGTGGAGGAGTCGAGCGAGCTCGTACACGTTGAGGTAGATGGTGTGTAGCGTGAGCTCGCGCACGTTCGCGAACATGCCGGGCATTGGCATCTGCTGTCGTGGCGACGAGAGCGGGGCCTGGGGCGGGAAGTAGTTATCGAGCGGTAGCCAGTGCCGGACGCGCAGGTGCGCAAGCTGCGGGAGCCTGGGCACGAGTGCGAAGAGCTCCAAGAAGGTGCGGTGCAGAATGAGCCAAGTGCTGTCGATACGCAGCTCGCGGACGAAGCATGCGAGATGTGGATGGGCGATGAGCATCTGGTCGGCGCGTCTGTGCTTGCCTGGGCTGTTGATGATGAGCGTGCGGAACATGTGCGAGCGTGCGGAGGGCAGCCAAGCATAGCAGGTTAGGCTGCAACTTGCCAGGGTTGGTAGGTCATCCCATAGGTAGTCGATGATGTAGTGATGCAGCTCTAGAGGGAGCCACGCCGTCGCCGCGCGGGGTGTCGAACACATCGAGGAAGGGAAGGAAGACGAGAGGTTCATCTTCACAGCCATCCTCAAGATGGTCACGAATTGGGCCACACCAGCAACATTCAACTCAGCACCTCCGCAACTCGCTTGATGCCACACGCGGCAGAGAACAATGGTGAGATGAAGAACAATAACAAGAAGCACTTACTCGGGACGTTGTCACGTATTAGAACGGCACCCGAAACAGGCAACGTAGTTATAGTCGTCTTCCTGTATAATCTCGCTATTGTACATGCGTCTTACATTCGTCTTATTTCTGCAATGCTTCAAGTTCCTGCCGTCGACGCGGTCATGAATTGCCACAGACCAATGTTACGATCTCGTACCTTTCTCTTCGTACTCAGCTCGCCATGTCGAGCAAGATACGCAGCCCCTGAGTCTGCCCAGACTTTGTAGTCTGTGACCTTGCCCTCGTCGTCAAAGTCAAGGACATAGACGAACTCTTCGTCCCAAGCCTGGCCCTCGCCGTCGCCTTCAATCCATGTAAACTTCGCGCTTCCCTTGGTGCACACTTTGCGGGACTCTGTGTCCACGACCCACTCTGAGAACGACATGTTCTCGTATTTGAGGTACTTCTGGAGAAGGGAGAAGTAGGTGGAGACGGAAGTAGGTCCGCTGCGGCCCGTGAAGGGGCGTCCGAGGAACGGTGCTAGACAGGGCTCGCCATACTCGATGACGGTGATCTGGTGGGTGGTAGAGAAGTGTGAGAGGAGGTCATCGAGGGTGGCCTGGCTAGCGAAGGCGTCGCAGAGGGCCTGTGCAGAAGCGAGGAGGCGAGCACGAACAGACATGGCGGAGAGGCACAAACACGCGAACGAGCGCGGCCAATTGAATGATAAGGCACTTACTGTAAACAAAGTTATTTAACCCGCAGACTCGGAGCCTTTCCTTCTTGACTCGAGCGTCTAGATCGTGACTAATGATACCTCCTCCTCCTCCTCAACTTCTGTAGATCGTACGCGGCGTTGAGCCAAGCCGACATTCGCCAGCGGATAGATTACCAGCTCCTCGAATGACACAGGGTTAACGTTCAGTACGACGTGCCTAATTTATAATGCTTTGTCTCGCCGCAAGCGTGCACATGAGAGGGCCAGGTAAGAGAAAGCAGCGGGTCTAACCGTACTCGAAAAGTGACGATTCACTGTAGGAAAGTAATAAGTAATCACTGCACTCTATTCTGTCCTTCCAGTGCTCTCCCGAAACGAATGAAAAAATACTAGTACTGTGATGTTCGTAGTAAACTTAAGCTTGAGTACTTGAGTGACATACGCATGCATGATAGGCCGACTCAACGCGAGTGCGGTATGGTATAGTATCCCAGTCATACGGTAGCCTACTCAGGCTGCGTATTATTATTCCGGCCACAAGACCACGCGCAATCACAGCAGCAGACACCGTGACAAGACGGTCAACCAGGATATCTAAGGATCATCACAATAGCAACAATGCGAATACATATTTCAATGCTACTTTCCGTCCTACCCATCCCGTATCAACACTTTCCACCCGCTGCTACCGTCGTCGCATGGATGTTCGCCGGGTAGCACTGTGCATTGGACACCGCCACGCAGATGTTGGTCCCAGTAGGCGTTCGGACAGAGTAAGAGCCACTCGTCACCGTCGTCCTCGAATTTCCCGCTTTGAGTGCCGCCCTGAGCGCCGCCTTGCATATGCCGGCGACCTGTCTCCGCGTGTACTTGTGCGCGACGTTTGTCGTCATTCCCGTCGTACCTTTATTAACCCAGAGCGTCTTCGGCTTCACAGGAAAGGATCAGGGTTAGTCGGGGAAAGCATATGAGGCGAAGCAGCTCACCCCCTTGCCGGCCTGCACATGAGCGAGAGCCGTCGCAGGATCGACCGTCATGTGCCCAGCAGTGCCTTTGTTGGCGTTGTGCGCGAACCAAGTGGACGTGAGATGCCGGCCAGAATTTGCCTTGTCGGGACGGCCGTTCAGGACGTGGTTCTTCATCCCTTTCCACTTTGCCTCGGCCTTTTTCCCACAACACTTCTTGTAGCAAGGATCTGTCGTATAGGCTTTAGCACTAAGACGGTCACGTCACGCAGGCAGCACTAGTAGGTACTTACAGCGGATGCCTTCTTGCATTGAATGGCAGATGTCGCGAGAGATCCAGGATGGCCTTCTTTCGCCGCACAGCTTTGAGTGTCTAGCGAGAACCCGCAATGACTTGCACGGACTGCAGAAGCAGGAGCATGAATAACGGCTTCTGAGCCACTGAGACGGTGGAAACGTACCACAAGAGTCGCAGTCTGTCAGTCTCGCACATGCTGTGGCATCATGTCGGGAGCCGGGCGTAAGCGGGGCGGCTTGCACTAAGAAGACAGTGCAAAGGAGGGTGAGGGCGGCGAGAGCAGTAGTGAGACGCATGGCTGCTATTTGGAACTGGTCGTTACGTTCGTGCAATAAGGGAAGATTATACGTGAGTGACTGGAAGGTTAAGATGAAGGGTGAGTAGCTGGATGTACGTTAGAGCAAAGCTACACGAGTGATGGAGGGCCAGCCCGGCTTGGGTCGTTGCTACAACCTGCCTTTTATCTTGTTGAACCCGTCATTTAGACGTGCGAGCGTTCCACTGAATGCGATGGCATTTCTCCGCATGAGACCGACTGAACGGTACGAAGCCCCCAAGCGCGCGCGTAGTATGGCAGATTGAGATGATACACGATTCAAAGCATCGCAAGGTTCTATACCATGCAGCATGTAAACCACAACAGCATACACTCGGAGCGCAATGAGAAGTACTTACCTTGAAAGATTGGAGGCTTAAGGTTTTTACGCTTCGCTGTTGTATGTGACGGTCTAGGTCCCAGCGCCTGGGCATACAGCTCGAACTCAAGGACGAACATAGGGCATATCCGGAGAAGAGACAGTTTGCACTTCGTCTTGTCCGCCCTACGCTCTAGAATTGATCAGCGCCCTCGTGATACGCAACGCCGGCTGCTGTGCGCGTTTGGGACCCACGTTCGCCGCGTTGAACCGCTACACTCAGACGTTCCAGCGAGTATTCAACGGTTCTCTTCAAGTGAATTCGCGCTCACCAGTCACAAGCATCTCGTAACATGCTCCGAAGACGGTGTCAACTGCTATGCTGCACCTTTGAGGTGCGCATTCACCAATTAACGTTCGATGGCCGCGCGCAAACGTATTCGGAAACTCCGGAGCAGGCGTCGGACCCTGCCAAAGCCACAACTGCCAGGGCGGTCCCGATCAGGAGATCAAGACAGGAGCTGTGCGTCGTGAATGACCATTGTTTCCAGAGGAGGCCACAGCATCTCGGAGGCTCAAAAGTGTTCCATCGCGCCGCCTGCTACAACCATTCGACCTTGCCCGGCTCAGGCTTCCACAAAGAGTGAGATACTACAAGTTGGACTCGTGTATGATCAGTATGCTGACGGGCATATTATAGCCAAAAAGACCCACCGTCCACCTCGATGTCTCTAGTGAACTCCCAGCCCCTCACTCTCGACGGCGACGTAGAGGCATTCTACGTTCACCAGTCGTATGTACTCACCTTCGGCAAAACCAGCGTCGACATCTGGCGCGCGGGAGCCCCACACGGGCGCCTCGAGCACGTAGCGCACCTCGCTCAGTTCGTACAGCCTCCGCCACATCAGCTCGACCCCATCCTCGACCCCGACCGCAACCTCATTGTCATCGCCGATCAGACTCAGGAAGATATCCCACCCTCGCTCCTCGTGTTCAGCCTCGTCGACGGTCGGCTCATCCGCAAGCTCGAGCTGTATGGCACCCTGACTGAGGACCGCTTGCGGTACGCCGATGGGAAGGTCCTTGTCGCGTCGTACTGGAGGACCTCACGACCATATTGCTCTGTGACATCCTTGGGGATGTCAAGATCCTCGGCCGGGCCACCCTCCCGACGGCCTCAGGGCGCGCGAGGAGACGCGGCTGAATACGAACGGAGGGTGCTGTTCCCGTCCACGTCAGGCCGAACGGCGATATCGTCGCGACGTCGTCGAGTCATGGGGTGACAAGATGGAGGTCCTGCGCTGGCGCGGGCCGACGTTCCCACTCACCGGAGCCAGACGCGAGCTTCGCGCTCGAGGTCGGGTCGAGACGGCGATCAGATTACCCGACTGCAGGCGCCCTGGACCGAAACCTTCCTGCTGGCTGTCTACGAGGCAGACGGTAACGTCCTCCCGGTCAATCCGCGTGAGACGTCGATCTATGCCATCGACACGGAGACCATGACCATCCGGTGGCACGCTGAGCCCATCGGAGGCTGGGTGCACACCGTTCGACATGTCGCCGCGCTGGACATCATCGTCGCGTTTGGACGGCACGACCACGGGGACGGCATACCGTCCGACAAGTTCGGATACGTCGTCGTCCTCGACCTGCGACGGGCAGCCAGCGGCAGACGGAGACGATCAATCACGGCGTGCAGGGCACTGCAGTAGAGTATTGCGGGCTCAGCGAGACCGGGGATAGCTTCGCGGTCGTCGTTGTCTTCGCTGATGGGTCCGTATGCGCGGTCGACCTGAAGCGATTCTTGGAGCATGGCTTCCCGAAGCAAGGCGAGCGAGTGGTGGTTTCGAGGGTTCTGCCGAGGGATCTAGCGTCAAGGAAGTGGCCATAGCTGGGCACACAGTGATCATTTCCTTCGACGACGGCAGCGGTCTCCGCGCAGCCTGTACTTTGGCCTGTCAGTGGAGTAAGAGTCCATGCGTAGAGGGCCGAGGCGCCACATACAAACATGCATTTATTGTTTGGTACGATACAATGAAGTAGATCAAAACCAATACACATGTAGTTTTATGCAAGTACTTCAACCGTACTTCAACCGTAGCGTACGGCAGCTCACTGCTCATTATTACTATTCCGGCCCCAAGACCGCGCACAGTAACTTAGCAACATGGATACCGTGACAAGACGAACAACCAGGACATTCAAGAATCATCATGATGACAACAATGCAAATACATGATTGAACACTACTCTCCGTCCTGCCCATCCCGTCCTAGCACTTCCCACCCGGTGCTACCGTCGTCGGATTGATGCTCGCCGGGAAGCATTGTACTTTGGACACCGTCACGCAGATGTTGCCCCCAAAAGGCGACTGGACGGAGTAGGAACCTCTCGAGTCGCCCGTTTTGAGCAGTACCGCGAGCGCGGCCTTGCATATGCCGGCGACCTGCACCTGCGTGTACTTGTTCGCACCTACCGCCGTTCCCTCCGCATTGTCATTAATCCAAACTGTCTTGATCTTCGACTACGCAGGAGATGATTAGGGTTAGTCGGGAAAAGTATATGAGGCGAAGCAGCTCACCTTCCCGCCGGTCTTCACCTGACCGAGACCCGTCGCATCATTGACATCCATGTCCCCAGCAGTGCCTTTTTTGGCAGGGTGCGCGAACCAAGTGGACGTGAGATGCCGGCCAGAATTTACGTTGTCGGGACGGCCGTTCAGGACGTGGCTCTCCATCCCATCCCACAATGTATCCGCCGTCACGGTTTGTCCCACAACCTGCTTTGCAGCAACCACTGCAACAGTACTTGCAGCGCTTACTGCAACAGTACTTGCAGCGCCTACTGCAACAGTACTTGCAGCACCTCTTGCAGCAGTCCTTGCAGCACCCGCTGCATCAGTCCTTGCAGCAAGGGTCTGTCGTACGGACTTCAGCATAAAGACAGTCCCGTCACGGGACAGCGCTAGGTACTTACAGCGGATGCTCTCTTGCATTGAGCCGCGGATGTCGCAAGGGACCCAGGGTGACCTTCCTTCGCGGCACAGCTCTGAGTGTCAAGCGAGAACCCGCAACGACTCGTATGAGCTGCAATAGCAGAAGCATGAGTAACGGGTCTCGAGCCACTGAGACGGTGGAAACTCACCACAGGAGTCGCAGTCTGTCAGTCTCGCACAGGCTGTGGCATCGTGTTGGAAGCGAAGCGTAAGCGGGGCGGCCTGGGCCAAGAAGACAGTGCAAAGAAGTGTGAGGGCGGCAAGGACAGCAGCAGTGAGACGCATGGTAGCTATACGGGACTGGTCGTTACGTTCGTGCAATAAGGGAAGATTCTACGTGAGCGAGTGGACGGTGAAGAGGAAGGGTGAGTAGCTGAATGTACGTTAGAGCAAGGATGCACGAATGATGGAGGGCCAGCCTGGCTTGGGTCGTTCCTATTCCCTGCCTTTTATATTGTGTGGCCGTCAGTTCAGATATACGAGCGTTCTGCCGAATGCGATCCGACATCTCTTCAGGAGACACTTGAACGGCACGAACCACACAAACAGCGCCGTGGAATGGCAGATTGAGATGAAACACAATTCGAAGCATCGCATGGTTCTGTACCAAGGAGCATGTAAGCTGTATAAAGCGCGTACAAGAAGTACTTACCCTGAGAGACCAGATGTTTGATGTTAAGCATCGCTTTTGGGGTATAAACTCCTTACGCCTGGGCCTACGGCTCGAATGCAAGGACTTACATAGGGCGTATCCAGAGGAGAGACAGTTTGAACCTTATCTTGTCTGTCATGTCAACCCTGTCTGCCTGCGCTGTAGAATTGACCAACGCACTCGTGATACGCAACTCGGCTGCTGCAACGTTCGCCACGTCCGCCGCAATCAGACGTTTCGTCAACGGTCCACTTGAACCCCCACCCACCAAGGCATCCAGTAACAGCTCCGAAGGAGGCATCGGCTGCTGCGCTACACCTTTGAAGTCCCCAGCATTCACTATGTTCGCTGCGTCTAAACGTCTCCGAGTCAGGAAGCTGTCAACGACCCTCTTGAATTCCCACTCACCTAAGCATCCCATAACAGTATCGAATTTCCCTCTTTCTCCCCCGGACACTGCGGAGCAGGCGTCGGACCCATCTGCCAAAGGCATAACTGCCTACAGGGTGGTCCCGGTCATGATATCAGGACCATTGTGGTCAGAGAAGACTACAGCATCTTGGGGCGAGTCAAAAGTGTTCTATCGCGCTTCCTGCTACGACCATTCGACCTTGCCTGACTTTCCTGGTTTCCACAGAGAGTAAGACACTACATTGGACTCGCGTATGATCAGCACACTGATGTGCGTTCTCTAGCCAAAAGTACCCACCATCCACCTCAATGTCTCCAGCCAACCCCAGCCCCTGGCCCTCGACGGCGACGTAGAGGCATTCTACGTTCACCAGTCGTATGTACTCACCTTCGGCAAAACCAGCGTCGACATCTGGCGCACGGGAGCCCCACACGGGCGTCTCGAGCACGTAGCGCACCTCACCCAGTTCGTACAACGTCCGGCGTATCACCTCGACCCTGTCTTCGACACCGACCGTAACTTCATCGTCATCGCCGACCAGACTGAGGAAAGCGTCCCACCCTCGCTCCTCGTGTTCAGCCTCGTCGACGGTCAACTCATCCGCAAACTCGAGTTGCGTGGCACTCTGACTGAGGACCGCTTGCGGTACGCCGATGGGAAGGTCCTTGTCGCTGTCGTACTGGAGGACCTCACGACCATATTGCTCTGTGACATCCTCGGGGATGTCAAGATCCTCGGCCGGGCCACCCTCCCGACGGGCCTCAGGGCGCGCGAGGAGACGCGGCTGAACACGAACGGAGGTGTGCTGTTGCCCGTCCACGTCAGCCCGAACGGCGACCTCATCGCGACGTCGTCCGAATCATGGGGTGACAAGATGGAGGTCTTGCGCTGGCGCGGGGCCGACGTTCCCAACTCACCGGAGCCAGACACGAGCTTCGCGCTCGAGGTCGGTGTCGAAGACGGCGATCAGATCTACCCGACCTGCAGTGCGTCCCTGGACGCGAATACCTTCCTGCTGGCTGTGTACGAGGCAGACGGTAACGTCCTCCCGGTTCAATCCGCGTGCCAGACGTCGATCTATGCCATCGACACGGAGACCATGACCATCCGGTGGCACGCTGAGCCCATAGGAGGCTGGGTGCACACCGTTCGACATGTCGCCGCGCTGGACATCATCGTCGCGTTTGGACGGCACGACCACGGGGACGGCATACAGTCCGACAAGTTCGGATACGTCGTCGTCCTCGATCCTGCGACGGGCAGCCAGCGGCAGACGGAGACGATCAATCACGGCGTGCAGGGCACTGCAGTAGAGTATTGCGGGCTCAGCGAGACCGGGGATAGCTTCGCGGTCGTCGTTGTCTTCGCTGATGGGTCCGTATGCGCGGTCGACCTGAAGCGATTCTTGGAGCATGGCTTCCCGAAGCAAGGCGAGCGAGTGGTGGTTTCGAGGGTTCTGCCCGAGGGATCTAGCGTCAAGGAAGTGGCCATAGCTGGGCACACAGTGATCATTTCCTTCGACGACGGCAGCGGGTCTCCGCGCAGCCTGTACTTTGGCCTGTCAGTGGAGTAAGAGTCCATGCGTAGAGGGCCGAGGCGCCACATACAAAACATATACTTTTTGTTTGGTACGATACAATGAAGTAGATCAAAACCAATACTTACTGTATGTAGTACCATACACAAGCAGACAAATGATATCAACTTGACGGGCACCACAAACTCAGGAGACGCGACGCGACGCGCCCAGCGCGTCGCGCGCGAGGAGATTTACACGCGCTTTTCGATGAAGGTGCTCATGATCATGTTCTTCCGCTAAGGACGAGCTACTGTGCTCGGCCGGTACATATTTTGATTCGGACTAAGGAAGGCAGCGGCCGACCGTACTCAAATGCAACGACTCAGAGCGGCTGAAGAATAGACTGTAGAAAGGTAAGAGGTACTCCCTGCGTGCAATCCTTGCAATACACGCCCCGAAACGAGGAAAAGTACTGCCACCTTGTGATGATCGCATTAGACTTGAGTGTCATCCGCTGATAGGCCGAACGCTCGAGTGCGGTACGATATCCGAGTCGTATGGCAATCCACTCAGGCTGCTTATTACTATTCGGGCCACAAAACCAAGCGCAGTAGCAGACTCCGTGACAAGACTGTCAGCCAGGAAATAAAAAGGTCATCACGATAGCAACGATGCAAATACATATTTCAATGCTACTCTCCGTCCTACCCAACCCGTCCTAACAATCCCACCCGGTGCCACCGACGTCGCTCTATCTTCGCCGGGTAGCACTGTGCGTTGGACACCGACACGCAGATGTGTTCCCCCAAGGCGTCTGCACAGCGTAATTCCCACTCGTCACCGACTTCTTTGACTTGCCCGTGTTGAGCGCGGCCGCGAGCGCGGCCTTGCATATCTCGGCGACCTGTTCCCGCGTGTACTTGTGCGCAAGGTGTGTCGCCTTACCGTGCGCGTCGTTATCAATCCATAGTGTCTTGCTCTTCGCAGGAAAAACGATATGGTCAGTCGGGGAAAAGGCATGAGGCAAAGCAGCTTACCCCCTTGGCTAGCGTCACTTGAGCGAGAGACGTCGTTGTGTCGATGGTCATGTGTTCAGCAGTGCCCTTGTTGTCATCGTGCGCGAACCAAGTCGACGTGAGTGCCGGCCGGAGTCTGCCTTGTCGGGACGGCCATCCAGGACGTGCGTCTCTATCCCTGTCCATTTCACATCGGCTCTCGCAGCGACATACCACTCTCGTGCGGCATGGATCTACGGTACACGCATCAGCATTGACGCAAACTAATCAGGTACAGTGCAGGGTACTTACGGCGGTCGCCTTCTTGCATTGAGTTGCAGATGTCGCAAGCTTTCCAGCGTGGTCTTCCTTCGCTTCACAAGTTTGCGTGTCCAGTGAGAACCCACAACGGCTCGCGCGGACTGCAATAGCAGGGATTGTGAATGACAGCTTGGAGGCAGCCAACGCAAATATGACGTACCACAGGAGTCGCAATCTGTTAGTCTTGCGCAGGCTATCGCATCGTGTCGCGAAGGTGTAACAGGGACTGCCTGCGCTACGAAGACAGTGCAAAGGAGAGTGACGGTGGCGAGAAGAGCAGTAGTAAGACGCATGGTGGATGTATGGACTGGTCGTTATGTTCGTGCGGTGAGGGGAGTTTCTGAATTAGTGTCTTGAAAGCAGATTAGAAGGATGGACAAGTAGTTGAAAGTACGTTAGAGCAAGATTGCACGCGTGAAGGAGGACCGGCCTGGCTTTGGACATCGCTCCGTCCTGCCTTTTATATCTGGCAAATATCGGCCTTGACACGAGCGTCGGTGGACAGTTCGTTCCGACAGGCGACCGTTTACTAACCGAGTGTGCCCCGCCAGCTCTCCAGCGGGGTCATGCCAGTCATGATAGCACCACACGCGGACAAGGCGCGGTCACCTTGAGCACCCGGAGGTTTGAAACCAGCGAAGAAGTCGACAACCATCTTCCGGAACCCACATTCCGCCGCCCGTAACATACTCCGGAGAAAGCGTGGACTGATCTGGTACTGCACCTTTGAAGCCCAGGTTCACCGCAAGTTCGCCGTACCCAAACGTCTCAGGAAGCCCCTCTTAACCGCGCGCCCACCGAAGCATCCCGTAACGGTATCCGTGAGGGGCCACAGCATCTGGGGGGCTCAAAAGTGTTCCATCGCGCCCCCTACGACCATCAATTCGACCTTGCTTGACTTCCGCCTGCAGAGAGTGAGACGCTACATTGGATCGCGTAGATTCAGTATGCTGACGCGCTTTGTCCAGGCAACACTACCCACCATCCACCTCGATGTCTCCCCAGCCTTTGACTCTCGACGGCGACGTAGAGACATTCTACGTCCATCAGTCCTATGTACTCACCTTCGGCAAAACCAGCGTCGATGTCTGGCGTGCGGGAGGCCCACACGAGCGCTCGAGCACGTAGCGCACCTCGCCCACTTCGTACAACCTCCGGCATATCACCTTGAACCCATCTTCGACATCGACCGTAACCTCATCATCGTCGCCGATCAGGCCCAGACAAAGTCCCACCCTCGCTCTTCGTATTCAGCCTCGTCGACGGTCACCTCATCCGCAAGCTCGAGCTGTATGGCACCTTGACCGAGGATCACCTGTGGTACGCTGACGGCAAGGTCGTTGTCGCCATAGTAGAGGACCTCACCACAGCCTTGCTCTGCGACGTCCTCGGGGACGGCGGGGTCCTCGGCCGGGCCACCCTCCCCTCACGTCTCAGGGCGCGCGAGGAGAAGCGGGTGAACACGAACGGAGGCGTGCTGTTGCCCGTCCACGTCAGGCCGAACGGCGACATCATCGCGACGTCGTCCGAGGCGTGGGGTGATAAGATGGAGGTCCTGCGCTGGCGCGGGGCCGACGTTCCCAACTCACCGGAGCCAGACGCTAGCTTCGAGCTCGAGGTCGGGATCAAGGACGGCGATGAGATCCACCCGACATGCAGTGTGCCCCTGGACAGGAACACCTTCCTGCTGGCCGTTTACGAGGCACACGGCAGCATGCTCCAGGTGCAATCCGCCTGCCAGACGTCGATCTATGCCATCGACACGGAGACCATGACCATCCGGTGGCACGCTGAGCCCATCGGAGGTTGGGTGCACACCGTTCGATACGTCGCCGCTCTGAATGTCATCGTCGGGTTTGGACGGCACGACAACGGGGACGCCATACAGTCCGACAAGTTCGGATATGTCGTTATCCTCGACCCCGCGACGGGCATCCAGCAGCAGACGGAGAAGATCAACCACGGTGTACAGGGCACTGCAGTGGAGTATGGCGGGCTCCGTCAGACCGGGGATAGCTTCGCGGTCGTTGTTGTCTTCGCTGATGGGTCAGTGTGCGCGGTCGACCTGAAGCGTTTCCTGGAACATGGGTTCCCCAGAGAAGGCGAGCGAGTGGTGGTTTCTAAGCCGCTGCCAGAGGGGTCTAGAGTCAAGGAGGTAGCTGTAGGTGGGCAGACAGTGATTATTTCTGTCGACGACGGCAGTGATTCTCCGCGCGTCGTGTATTTTAGCCTGGAGGCCAACGGGTATGTACAGTAGTGGCCGTCGAGGCAATGAATTATGCCAGTACGCTGTCACAGCCACGTGATGCGTGACTCCTGGTGTCAAAGACAGTCACCAAGCCGCTCGATGTGTGCGTGCCAAGGGTCCACTGCATGAGGCTTGGGCCAGCCTCATCACGCACCACTTCGAGCACAATCAATACAGACGAAGTGGCGATCCCGAAAGTGTACAATTGATCATGGTATTCGGAGTGTGATACAAGCATCACTTAATCCCATCGACGGCTACAAAACGTTACGGTTCCTGGTAAGTCACTAGAGCCACTGGCACCTCGTGTTGTACTGCCAACGAAAAGCAATGCGGACAAATTTTACACCTCGCGCTGCATAAGGAGCGTCAATCAATCTACATACAACACGTCGAGCTCAATCCAGGTCGAGCGAGCCATCGAAGAATTCACGGTCAAACAGCTCTCGAGGGCGCGAGCCGACGCCGTGGGTGCCGCCGTTGGCGACGTGGTGCACCTTCCCACTGTGATCAAGGTAGGCACGGTCAACCAGCTCTCGAGGGCGCGAGCCGACGCCGCCGTGGCCACCGTTAGATGTATGGTGTACCTCCCCGTTGTGTCCAAGGTAGGCACGGTCAACTAGCTCTCGCGGGCGGGAGCCGACGCCGTGGGTGCCGCCGTTGGCGACGTGGTGCACCTTCCCACTGTGATCAAGGTAGGCACGGTCGACCAGCTCTCGCGGGCGGGAGCCGACTCCGCCGCGGCCGCCATTCGCGACGTGATGCACCTTCCCACTGCGATCAAGGTAGGCACGGTCAACCAGCTCTCGAGGGCGGGAGCCGACGCCGTGGGTGCCGCCATTGGCGACGTGGTGCACCTTCCCGCTGTGATCAAGGTAGGCACGGTCAACCAGCTCTCCTCGCGGGCGAGAACCGACACCGCCGCGGCCGCCGTTGGCGACGTGGTGCACCTTCCCACTGCGATCAAGGTAGGCACGGTCGACCAGCTCTCGAGGGCGGGAACCGACTCCGCCGGTGGAAACGCGCCGGCCAGAGGAGTGGTGCATCTCCCCGTTGTGTCCAAGGTAGGAAGCGCGAGACTGCAAGTCAACGTCCACGTCGCGGGGCTCGCTGCAGACAACATCAGCTCAGAAACATTATAGCGATTGTGGAAACTTACAACTCGGCGAAAGATGCGAAGACGGGTGTGGTGGAGGCGGCCGTGGCCAAGGTCAAAGCGAGGATGGTGCTGCAGCGCATAGTGAAGATTGTCGGTGATGAGGCGAAGGTAGGTAGTGTGGTCGTTGGGGAAAGTGAGCGCGGCGAATAAAGGCGGGGGTCGTAAAATAATCAAGCAAGGCTGTTGATCGAGAATAACCAGGTAAGCGTAGTGCTCGCACGTAGGAAGACAGGCAGGATACTCACCAACCAGTGCCGATGCTGTCGTGAGCTCGAAAGGTAGAAGTTGTGAGAGCTGGGGAGCTTGTACAGACAGCAACACTTATTTATATGCAACAAGGTCGGCAGACTCGCCCGCCCAGACGTAGACATCTGTCGCAGAATGACACCGAGGCGCAACGTCGATATCAGGATCTGCACTGGATCACCACAGTGCTGGAGCGAATTCATCAGACTCATCAGGAGGAAGGCGCATATGATCTCCTGTCTTGGGGCTGTCTTGGGGTGGTCGTGTACCATAGCTGCTGCAGCTGTGGGCTTTGCGCCATGTGCGGTCACACAGTGGCGGCAAATCTGCCAAGACTGCGCACAGGGCGACCACCTGCGAAACAAATCCATATTGCGGTCTATATCGCCGTCGAATGAACTGCTGGACCTATGCATTAATTGCGACCGTCAGGCGCACACCGCACTGTCCCTGAGCGTCGCCGGCGTGAGCCCGGTATGCGTCAAGATAAGTTGCGGCGTACCAATCAAATCCTGCGCAACGCACGCGGACCAAATCCGTGTATGCACGTTACTGAGTGATTGGTCGCTATGCTCAATGTCTGAATCAGAATACAGGAAGCCGTATAGCGAAGACACTGACACTAAGTACGTTGAGCCTCGGGCCCGGTAATCTGGCCAAGGTACTAGCTATTGATCCTGACGATGGGAGCCCTGGTCCTTGCTCCAGAACAGCTTGGTCCGCGGACGATCTCGGCGAAGAGCGCGACAGAAATGACTGCCAGTGGCCATTGTTCCGCATCGCATGTTGAGTCGTTGGACATCTAGCCCGACTCTGAACCCAGCGCACGGACCGCAGAATGGTCTAGTGAAGATTGTTATGCGCGATAGGTACCCGATACATGTCCGGAGAATTACATACCTCAGGCTGACCATGGGCGGATGGGTCATGAATGTCTACGAGGGGAGGGCTTGGTCGACGACGCGGCTGGCCACGGAGCGGGAGCGTGTTTATATGTTCATCTTCGTGACGCACTGATTTTCCGAGTTGAGAACGGTACCCTGTACATCAAAACTCACCTAAGTGAGAGTAGGTCCATCGACGAAGCTTGAAAGCTTGAAGCTTCGTCACCATTGTGACTCAGCTATTACAGTACTATCAGATCCGAGTCCAGTACTCCCATTCAGTACTAATTTGATGGTGTGTAGATACACGTCACTCTCCGAAGAACATGCTCTCAGTCTTCAAGGTATGAAAGACGGAGACGACTCGGAAGTTGGACAACAAGTTACGCCGATACCAACTTATCAGACACGAGACAGGACTCGCTGTCACTTCCCGGTGGCAGTGAATTGTGGGGTGAACAGGGAGGAAACACAGCCAAAATCCGCTGGCGAACGCGTCGAAGAGGGATAAATTGAGACGGGCGATATGTATGGCGGAGGGAGGAGAAGGAGGAGAGGTCGAAGATGCACGTGAGGAACACGGACATGCGGCGGTATAATTTACGTACAGACGCGGTGGCGCGGATCAGCTGTCTGCTTGTCTTCCTTCCAGCATGCGAGGAACGCCCATATCGCCCCAATTCTCTTCCTCTTTTTCTCTTCTCCCGCAGTCTGCTGCCCGCCGTCTCCCGGGTCGCTTACGCACCGCCATCTCTTGCGACTGCTGGCGTTCATGACATCTGAGACTCAGAGGGTAGATAACTCGACTCCCACCGCTGAGCGGCACGGCCAGACGAACGTGCCGCAGCCATCTCAGGGCGGAAGCCCCCAGCCAGGGTAAGTCGTCTCGGTGTAGCGTCGCGGCTGTGCTGAGCAGAGTCTGTCTGCAGTGATTTGAGTGCTGCCTTTGCCTCCATATCTCGCCGGACTCTTCGGTACGAGCATCAGATCAAGGACCTCGAGGTGAGTCAAATCCATCACCGGTCTTAACCTCGCGGCAAACAGCTTTCGTTTTATCCCCCAGGGCAAGCTGACGGTCAACATGAGCAACTCTCGCGCCGTCCACAACCTCTTGCAGGAGGTCCTCTCCGGTCTGCACGTACGTACCGCTGCACCTACTGCGATCGCTCAGTATCTCACGTCAGTATACCTTCACAGCAAAGCCAGCGCCGCGCGGACGTCGCTTCGAACACCACTGTCCCCCACATCGAGCAGTCCCTCGCTGAGGATCTTGACGCCCTCTCCTATCTCGACGAGCACCTCCCCCGCGTCCAGCAGCAGGTCCACGACATCCGGCATGTCTACGACCGTGGTAGGGACAAGGTGCGTTAAACCATCATGCCCTTGTTCCCTGGGGCCCACCTCGCCGCTGTATACGGTGCCTGACTCGCTCCAGGCACATGAATTGATCACCGAGCTCGAGTGGCTGAACACCCCGCTCTCCGCGCGTCTCCGCACCATCATCTTCACGCCGAACGCACCTGTCAGTTCTCGAGGGAAGGCGTTCATCGTGCGTTCTCTCAGCTGTGATTCTACCCTGTGCACCGCTGACATCGCCTCGCTCGTAGCGCACGCTTTTTGCTCTGGCCCTCCTGGTATGCATATGGATAACGTGGATCACTCTGCGCGGTGCCGTCAGGGCTCACCGTCAGCGCCTCGTCTGGGGCGAACGCCTGATGAGCTGACACTGCCGGGATCTCATCGGACGCACGCGATACATGATGTCTACAGTTGGACGTCGCCCCGATACTTCGCTTCCCGAACATGGTCTTTCCCTAACTTGTGCAATTAGCTCATCGCACGGTCCACTGCTCCATCTGGCTTGATGCCCTACCGTCGCTCTATGGGATCCTAGTGGTGTTGTGTAACATTATTGCTGTATTATAATCACCTGGCTTCAGTCGTGTAGGATGTTCGCTTTCTGTAGACACTTGGAGGAACTTGTATATGCTTTACCCGCACGTCATTGAGACTGATTGGACCGACGCAAAGTCACCACACCGCCTCACCCTCCCACTAGACTTCTTTTTCATTCGGCGCATGTATGATAGCCCTCAAGGCCTCATGATTCGTCTAGATCACGCTGGCATTTTCTGTGTCACTGACCCCGAGCCTCAGCTCCAAGTCGGATTCATAGCGACGTTCAGCGTAATATACATCGAGCTTGGGGCACATATCCCCTATCCGGGCCCTCATATGTCGGACATCTGGCGTATGAGGGCGACCGAATTGTGGCGCCTGGGCTTGATCGTACACTTGAATGGCCGAGGGTGTCTAACCACACATGAATGCTCAACAACGATTGGCACTGACCGGGAGCACATACCTGATACTGTGTTCGGAGTACTCGAGATCTATAGGTATTTCCTGGCCCCGCTCGTCAAGCGCAGGCGTGATCTTGAACGCGTAGAAAAGAGACGCGATCGTGATCCATACGTGGTTCTCTGCGAGATCCTTGCCCGGGCAAACGCTGCAACGATGCGCTCGGTCAGTATCAACTCAAAAAACACCGTCGAGGCTGCATGTCACCGTCTGCCGAAGCCGAAGGCGGGCCCTCTCGGATCGGGCTGTGGGGTGCGCCCTTCTCCGCTCAAGAAACGATCGGGATTGAACACTTCCGGGTCCGGATAGACTCGAGAGTCGTGAAGCATGGCCCTGCCACCTAGTCAGCGAGTGAGTGTACGTCGTGTCGAGAAGAGGGCTCACCACGCGTTAGCTATGATCATACAGCCTGCCGGCAAGTAGTATCCATTGTAGTGGTCGTCTTGACACAACCGATGAGGTACACCTACGTTCAGCGATCAGTAATGCTCGTTCAACGCGTCTAAAGCACACGGAAACATACCAACTGGAGTGACCACGCCCCAGCTGCATATACAGAGCAGTATGTATCCCGGTAAGCAACCTACAAACGAAGAACATACCGGAATGCTTCGCTCATGATGCATTGCATATAAGGCATCTTGCTGCGGTCAGCAAAGGTCGGAAGACGTTCCTTTCCAAGAACCAAGTCCATCTCTGCCTGCGCTCGGGCTTGAATTACGGGGTTGGTGACAAGCGCAATGATCGCTGTCATCAGTGCGGACAAGGTCTAGCTCGAGTTGAGCAAGCGCACAATGATCTAAGGTAAAGAAACCGCACCGTGTCAAAACCAGCTTTCATTCGCGTCATGCGTAGTAGTGAGCGACTGGACACAAACACAAAAGGAAATATTTTCACCCGAGTAGGTTATGGCAGCTGTGCTTCGAACGCCCTCCTCATCTAGTCCGTTCGTTTCTTCGAGCAGCTCTGTCGTATAACAACCAGACGCTGTTCCATTGATCTGGGTATCGATGTTAGTACACACCAACTTGCTCATATTGTCGCTCACCATCTGTTGTTTCACATGGTCAAACGGCTTATGAACGAAGTCGTGGAGGTCTTCTCTCGTTCCCGGAGGAAGGCGCTTGATTCCTGCGCCAGGGAACCAATCGGGGATGTGTCGCACTGCCAAAAATGAATGTCATTGAGCATTCTTCCTGTCAATGGCCATTCTGATTAGATACGAATACGTACACCATGGGAGGAAGTCGACGATATGCGCGCCTACGGCTCCAGTGGCTTCGATTGTCAAGACACCCTTCTCTGCTATGCGAATGAAGGGATCATCGAATGATTGTACTTCGTGTCCATACGTGATATTCATGGTCACTCCACCTGCCAATCTGTGCGAAATAAGTGAGCCGTGACGGTCATTTCCTCTGAAGTCTAACATACCTCTTGATATGCGCAGCATAATCGCCCGGACTATCCAAGATGTCATTGAGAAGTTTGTACACCTCTTTGACTTCTACGTCGTAGTACTTGGGTAGATTCTGCTTGCCGAAGTATTGCTGGAGATATCGCCTGTGTCGCTTGAATTTCTCGCCGTAGTCCATCGAAGGCAGAGACCATTTCTGCAAATGCATCTCAGCATCTAGTCACCACACTGAGACATTGTTGCTATGCAGTCTCACCCAGCCAATGCTGCGCCGGTCTTGTGAGAATGTCGAATCGTTACAAACAGGAGGACACGTACACTTCATTCGCCATAACCATGGGCGTGCGATGCGAGTAGATAGCGCTTCTCTTGTCAAGTAAGTCGTGAGCAGCAGCAGCCGAGTTCAAGACAACGGCTTCTCTGCCCAACACATGGAAGTAGATGATATCTCCTGCATTGCACTTGAGTGACGACCTGCTGGACGCTGTACGAACACATACCATAGTTGGCTCTCCACTGCGCGAATTGTTTCCAGGCCGCTGTAGTTGGTATATCAAACAGATTGCCAAGAATAGGATATGACTTGGGGCCGGGAGGTAGAGGTAGACCCTTCGAATTCCTCGAGAGACGGTTGTGCACTACCAGTGCCCGAACAGCGACGAGCAACGCTACCAGGCAGAAGACCGTCTGCAGCATAGATGTGAGATTTTCAGTCAATCGGAGGCACAAGTATAGGATCTCCTTACCTATAGCTGCTCGCTGGGCACAATAAATAGGCTGCGGTTCAGGAACTTGAATCCGGAGGTCGGTACTCTACTGCAATGGTGGTGCTACTTACGCCGGGCAATACACGGCGGGTCGGTCACCCCCCGAGCCCAATCCGAACCACAAGCGCGACTAGGACGGAAGTGGTCGCCGGGATCTTAGGCCCCTCATAGTATAGTTGAGCATCGTGTTCTCCATATGCAAGTTGTCGGATGATACACATAGCAGCATGGAAGATTCTTACCACTCTTCAGATTGTTTTATTCAAGACTCGGAGCAGACGCCTGGCAGACCGTCGCAGTAGCCGAACACCTCGGGGAGAAGTCGGCCAGTAAGTAGCCTTATTTGAATATGCAACGCGCCCAACCAGTGAGTCCATCCGAGTCCGACTCCATGTACCTAAGGCTTAGTCTTGCATACAGTTGCAGCGTTTCTGTCAAGCGGACCCCCGTTGCCATCTTCAAATATTGATACGCTGAAACGTTTCGACTTCATCGCAGACGCGTCATGAGAGACTGGACTCTCAGTGTCTCCATCATACCAATGCCAGTTGTGGATCCGGATTCCGCGCTCCCGCGACCATGGTGACCAGTGACTCTCGAGTCCAACCAAGAATGCCTGCAGGGTCATTAGGCAAGCCTACGCATAAGTGACGGGTTTGCAACTTAGTGGAGAAGGTGAGTTGCGGTATAAGGACGACGCGCTCTGAGACTGATGCTCAGGCCTCTCTAGCAACTTGGCAGGTTGTCCGACCGCTACCGCGTCGAGTAGCTCGCGCGCCTCCCTGATCTTCTCTCTATTCCATATGGGGCGTGTTATATCCTCGCTGCGCCCAAAAACGCACGCGTCCAGCGCATGACATCGTTCGTGTGCTTCGAAAGCCTGTGGACGAGTACACAGCGGTGACAGTCTCCACATCTGATCCCGCTTGATTTGGCGGATCTAATGGTAAGCATGTGCGTTTTGCTCGTAACATCCCCTTTCCCGCTGTAGTTGAAGACTGAGTTCCACCATCCTGGCAGATGCTTCTATTAAATAATAGTAAAAACGTGTTCATCTGAGTGTCGTCGGATGTTCGACACGGCAAGTGTGCGATAGTGATAGGAGGGTAGATAAGGGTACGTGAAACCCAGAGAGTGCGCGCCCACAGGCCAACGTTCGTGCTGATCAGACACTCTTTCGCAGTGAGCAATCCGGTGTAGTAGCGTGGATCGGTGATATCCACGCACTATCAGTGTATGGATGACGCCCAACGTCGAGGATACTGTCAAAGTCAGGCATAGAGTATGGGTTTGCATTCCAGCAGCTGACAGACTGTGAGTAAATCATGTACTGTTGTCCGAATACGATGCTAATTACGTTCAGCGTCAGAGTTGCAGCTTGTCATGATGCGCTTCGGCCGGATATGTACGCCGTGACATGCATCTCGTGGAGGCCGCCTAATTCACACCTCTACGAAGTGCAAGTCTGCGTTGCCAGTCGTTAGTGTCACGATCTTGATAGTAAAGGTTGTGAGTCTTGTCTCGCGCAGCTTTGCGACCGGCATTTTACTAGACGCGGTACGTACGACTACTAGACCTTAAACCCCCGAAGTATGTATGAATCACTCATTGTAACAGTGACAGAACTTACATGAACGTCTGTCATAGAAGGTGGCTATCAATATCATCCACGTCAACAGGGTTGGGCCGAAAGACTGAATTACCTCAAAGGCCATGCTCTAGGAGCATTCTACGCGCGCGGCGCAGTGGAGACGCCGCATTGACCACGAGGGTTGCGCTCCTAATGTGAGAATGTGCTCATAGGACAACGTGCGCCGCTGGCGTTTGTCCATGGAATAAAAGCAGGATTGGGAAGACTCCTTTCCACTGTCGAATTTCTCATTACTGCAGCATGAAGCTCACCTCTAGTCTTATTATCCTCGCCTGTGTCATTCTCGACGTTGCTATCGCTATGCCTGTTGAAGTTGAGAGGCGACTTGTCGGTGCGTAAGAATACTCGCTAGGTCTCTGGGTCGCTCTCTAACTACTAGGCTGGTTGATACCCGTTCGTCGTGTTCATGATGCAGATGTAGACGAAGGTGAGATGACGTTACCTGATGCCTTATTGATGGCAATGTCATTTCATGCCGGCTGACTGTCTTGTGTGCTAGGCCTCGAGATTCGCGGTACGTCGTGGATTACCCTCCCTGGCCATACGAAAGACTGACGCTTCGACTGACCTAGAATCAAGGTCCATAGGGAACCACAAATCCAGTGGCGCTTATAGAGCTACTGATCCAGAGGACATCGAAGGTTAGCTCACTTATTTTATGGCATGTTACTCGTTGTTAAAATGCTCCGTCCCACCCTGACCTACTTCGCGCAGACCCTTGAAACGTACGTGCGCGCGCTCTCGAAACGGATGACATACTTAGGAATCGCACGTTCATAGTTGCCGACCACTCACAGTAGCAGCGCTCAATAGTCGTATGTCGCAGAAAACGAAACCGGGACAAATCTCGCTGCTGAAGCTCGCGTTTGATGTGAAGTTGGCCATTTACTTACGATGTCCGCAACGATATTCATACTCGGTATATGACAAACGGCAACGCTCGATTGTAGAGTTCGGTTGAAACTGCATTTCAGCCTCTTTCTGCAGGATTGGCGGTGGCCTCTATGCTCTCGGGTTCCGTGCCACGGATGCTAAATGACCAATCAACGCTGTCTGACTATCATGATACAGTAAAGTAGTTCTAGTGATCGTACTCGAAGCCTGAGGGCATATCCCTGTCGCACGCAAGGTCCAACTGATCTTATGGGCCCGCGGTTGATGTGTCTCTGCGTCCATGATCGCTCTAGCATAGCGGATAAGGATGCTTTCGACGACAGCTCCGAGCACGATGGACTGATCCATTAGCCAAAATTTACTTGAACCCAGTCCGTCGACGGACAGGATCGAATAGATGGGTTCAACATCTGCATTGCAAGATATGTCGAAAGCGTGAGCACTACTTACAGTATTACCGTCATCTCCTCTCACACAAACTCGTTTGAAGGCGTTTTATGGGGATACAGTCCCTGCAGCAATTGAGATGATGATCAGCCAGGCCTGCGCCGCCGCACGAATACCAGCTCACTCAGTATCAATGGCCCGACGTCTGCTGCAACAACCCCTCCACAGTCGCTCGCCCTCCACTCTCCCACTCATCCCAGCAAATCGCCAAAGACACGCTATGCCGTCCCCACCCCTCGTCGCCCTCTCTCTCCACCACCGGCGCCTCGCGCGTCAGTTCCTCCACGTCCGGGAGAGCGAACGTCCAGCGCAACACGCCCTCCTCCCTGAACCCCATGCGCTTTGCGAGCCCGATCGACGGCGCGTTCTGCGGATGGGCCGACCAGCGGATGCGGCGGAAGCCCAGCCCGGGCGGGGAGGCCGACGGTGTCTGCAGGCAGTATCGGAGCAGGAGGCCGAGCGCGATGCGCGCGACGTGCGTGCGCCGGAAGGCGGGGAGGACGAGGACGAGGCCGACCTCCGTGTGCTTGTGCGGCTTGGACGTGTTAATCAGGGCCAGCGTACCCGCAAGCACGCCGTCACGCTCCTCTGCGCCCGAGTCTGTGTCCGAGCGCGCCCCATCTGGCCCGCACGTCCGATCGAAGACTGCGAAGACGCATGTATGTGGATTCTGTCGGTGGCCTTCAACGACGGACAGGAAGTGTGCGAAGGTGTCGGGGGAGTAGGGGTAGTACTTGAAGCACTCGCGTGCCTGTGGGCCGATCTGCTCCCAGAGTGTGCGAGCGTGCAACGAAGGTACGAACGGCGTGAGGCGGATAGTAGGACACGTGAGGGTGTCGAGGTGCAACGGGAAGGAGAAGTTGATGTCGTAGGGCTCCGTGGAGGCGAGGATGCTCTCGGGGTCAGGGTAAGGCGCGATCTTGGGCGGGGTGTAGTTGTTCACGTATGGCGGTGGCATTTCTGACCAGTGACCACGCCTTTTAGGTAGCGGTGGACAATGCAGCAGTGAATCTGCTGCCGTGTATATAGGTAGAGAACCGACGTCGAGTCATTTGACGATCACGACCGCAGAAACAGTGATCGCGATGGTCTCGGCCGGAACCATGCCGTCAACAGTAACCTCTCCTGAATCAGGCGCATGCCCTAAGGAAAGGGTGATCCTGGGTTGATCAGTACGTATTCAGTTTGAAGAGTCATCTGCATCGTCCACTCAGACGCACATAGAACCTATCTGCCAATAGCTCGTAAGCACTTCTGTGTTCCCTCGCTCTGCCCTGGGATGTACGAAGTGAAAGACCTGTCCACTCAACTTGAACACCAGGGACACTACGGAGCTCAGACAACAAGATCATTTCGATCTCACAACCCAGTCTTCCTCTCTGAATGCGGTGAAGCGTTCCACAAACATGCAGATCGCACTCAGTCCAGCGCCAGTCGAGATGCAGTATTGTACCCTTCGTTCGCTGGAATGATGCAATGGAGGGACACTGCATCATTGATTGTCAGCTTCATTTCGGGGCGAGGGTACAGTTGCTCACGCTCACCAGTCAATTTACTTGGTCTCCTACAGCAGCAATCTAGTGACAGCTTACGGTCTTGAGACACCAGCATAGGTGACAAACGACTGTCGGCTCACCTATTGGCCCGACGGCTGCTGTAACAGTCTTTCCACACCATATCCTGCGCTCCGATCCCACTCGTCCCAGCAGATCGCCAGACAGACGCTATCGCGTCCCCAACCGTCTTCTCCTTCTCTCTTCACTCCATGCGCCTCTCGCTTCATCTCCTCCACGTTCGGTATGCAAAACGTCCAGCGCATGACGCCCTCCTCTTGGAAGCACATACGTTTCGCAAGCTTGATCGAGGCCTTGTTATGCGGGTGCGCCGACCAGCGCACGCGACGGAAGCCCAACCCAGGAGGAGAGGCCGCCGCCGGCTGCAAGCAGTAGCGCAGGAGAAGGCCGAGCGCGGTGCGCGCGACGTGCGTGCCCTGGAACGCGGGGAAGACGACGACGAGTCCGATCTCCGTGTTCTTGTGCTGCTTAGACGTGTTGATGAGGGCCATCACGCCCGCGAGCGTACCGTCCTCCGAATCCGCGGGTGAGTCTCCTCCTGGTCCATCTGGTCGACGCGTCCGGTCGAAGATGGCGAATGCACAGTTATCCGGGTGTCGGCGGATGTTCTCGACGACGGAGAGGAAATGTGCGAGGGTATCAGGACAGTAGGGATAGTACCTGAAGAGTTCACGCGCCCGTGGGCCGACGTGCTCCCAGAGCGTGCGGGCGTGCAAGGTTGGTACGAACGGCGTAAGACGGACAGTCGGACATGCGAGCGTATCGAAGTGCAGCGGAAATGAGAAGTTGATGTCGTACGGCTCCTTGGAGGCGAGGACGCTGTCAGGGTCAGGATAAACGGTTGCTGGTGGCGGGGTGAAGTTGTTTACGAATGCCGGAGACATGGTCTCAGTCCTCGCTACGTTGTCCGGGTGTTTGTGTGGGAAAATACGGTGGAGAGGTGGCCATTCTTAACAGAGACATATCGCGTCGAGTCAGACTGACCAGGGCGCACAGAGTCATGATAAAGATGAGGACCGCCGTCACGAATCACGATGCTGCCGGCGGGAGCGCGCCAAGTCACATGTCCCGTGATTGTGACAGAGAGCTACCATTTTTCGTGCGGTTCAAGTCTGTGTCTTGACCTCTACATAGGTACCAAAACTCTACTCGAGGCTAAAGTACTGGCTGCGCGGAGACCCGCTGCCGTCGTCGACGGAAATTATCACTGTGTGCCCACCTACAGCTACTTCCTTGACTCTGGACCCCTCTGGCAGTCGCCTCGAAACCACCAACCGCTCGCTTTCCCTCAGGAAGCCATGCTCCAGGAATCGCCTCAGGTCGACCGCGCATACTGACCCATCAGCGAAGACAACGACGACCGCGAAGTCATCACCTGTCTGGCTGAGTCCGCAGTACTCTACTGCAGTGCCCTGCACGCTGTGGCTGATCGTCTCCGTCTGCCGCTGGCTGCCCGTCGCAGGATCGAGGACGACGACGTATTCGAACTTGTCGGACTGTATGCCGTCCCCGTTGTCGTGCCGTCCAAACGCGACGATGATGTCCAGCGCGGCGACATGTCGAACGGTGTGCACCCAGCCTCCTATGGGCTCAGCGTGCCACCGGATGGTCAAGGTCTCCGTGTCGATAGCATAGATCGACGTCTGGCAGGCAGACTTCACCTGAAGCACGTTACCGTCTGCCTCGTAGACGGCCAAAAGGAAGGTGTTCTCGTCCAGGGGCGCACTCCATGTCGGATAGATCTCATCGCCGTCTTCGACCCCGACCTCGAGCGCGAAGCTCGCGTCTGGCTCCGGTGAGTTGGGAACGTCGGCCCCGCGCCAGCGCAGGACCTCCATCTTGTCAGCCCATCCCTCGGACGACGTCGCGATGATGTCGCCGTTCGGCCTGACGTGTACGGGAAGCAGCACACCTCCGTTCGTATTCAGTCGCTTCTCCTCGCGCGCCCTGAGGCGTGTGGGGAGGGTAGCACGGCCGAGGACCCTGCCATCCCCGAGGACGTCACAGAGCAGTATGGTCGTGAGGTCTTCCAGTACGACGGCGACAAGGATCTTCCCATCGGCGTACCGCAAGCGATCCTCAGTCAGGGTGCCATACAGCTCGAGCTTGCGGATGAGTTGACCGCCGATGAGGCTGTACACGAGGAGCGAGGGTGGGACGTTTTCCTCAGTCTGATCGGCGATGACCATGAGGTTGCGGTCGGTGTCGAAGACGGGGTCGAGGTGATACGCCGGAGGTTGTACGAAGTGGGCGAGGTGCGCTACGTGCTCGAGACGCCCGTGTGGGGCTCCCGCACGCCAGATGTCGACGCTGGTTTTGCCGAAGGTGAGTACATACGACTGGTGGACGTAGAATGCCTCTACGTCGCCGTCGAGGGTCAGGGGCTGGGAGACTGCTAGAGACATCGAAGTGGATGGTGTGTGTTTTCTTTTGGCTGTATAAGCGCGTCAGCATACTGATTATACACGATCCAATGTAGCGTCTCATTCTCCGTGGAAGTCAGGCAAGGCCGATGGGCCGTAGCAGGAGGTGCGATGGGACATTCTCAGCACCCAAGATGCTTCTACGGATACTATAGCCATCCAAATATTCACGTCGCACCCAAGTTTCCTGATCTCATGATTGGGACCGCCCTTCAGGCAGCTGTGCCCACCATCCGACGTCTTCTTCGGGGTGTCCGGATATCGCTGCGGGATGTTTCGATGAGCGCTGGATCAAGAGGTGCTTCCTGAGACGTTTGGACGGGGCGAACGCGGGCTTCAAAGGTGCAGTACCACAGCAGCCGACGCTTTCCCTGGAGTATGTTACGGAATGCTTAAACTGAACGAAGCACGTCAGCATGCTGATCATACATCTCCAACGAAGTGTCCCAGTCTCTGGAAGCAAAACGGTCGCAGGGACAAGTTTTGTGGCCCCGAGATGCGGTGTCCTCGGGCCTGTGGACAACTTCGCACAGCCCCTTTGTTGATCTCATGATCGGGACCGGCGCCCTAAAGGCACTTCTGCCTGTGGTAAGGCCCATGGACCGACGCCTTCCTCGGAGTATCCTGATACTGTTACAGCATGCTTCGCCGGGCGCGGGTCCAAGAGAACTGTTGACAGCTTCCTGCGACGTTCAAATGGCAAATGTGATGAACATCGCCCTCGACGATGCAGCACAGCCACTCACGTTGCGTTCTATGGATGCGTTGGCTAGTATTCGCGCGTAAGAATGCAAAGGTAGCGTGGCGGGAAAAAATGTGATTTAAGTGCCCGATTTCTGAATATGGCCTTTCATTCGGCAGTAGGTGTCGAACTTAGAGCGCCCGACCTCACAAGGCACGTACTGCTTGCGCGCATCTTGTGCTATCTCAATTTACATTCCGTATTGCGCAGAGCCTTGCGGTACTTCGCATCGTGTATCATCTCAAGCTCCCGATCTGCCCGGGCGGTATCTGGGAGCTTCGCGACATCTCCTGAAGAGCTGTCCGGTCAGTTAGAACGCTCGGATATCCTAACGGATGGGCAATCAGGCGTGTCCTGGCTGACGGTCAACAAGTATAAAAGGCCGGGCATAGCAATGTCCAAAACCAGGCTGGTCCTCCTCCATTCGTGCAGTCTTGCATCGCCGGGCATTTGCTACTCGACCCATCCATCCTATCGACCGTCCGTTCACGAACGTCACGACTAGTCCCGTACACCCGACATGCGTCTCGCTACTGCTCTCCTTGCTACCATCACCCTCCTTTGCACCGTCTTCTTAGTGCAAGCCGCCCCGCTGGCGATTGGCTCCCGAAACGATGCTAGAGCCTGTGCGAGATTGACAGACTGTGACTCTTGTGGTACGTTGTAATGGTGGTGGTCGCACGAAAGCTATCACCCACGCTTATTACCACTGCAGCCCGTGCGGATCGTTGCGGATTCTCGCTTGACACGCTAAGCTGTGCCGCGAAAGAAGGCCACCCTGGGTCCCTCGCAACATCTGCGGCTCAATGCAGGAAGGCATCCGCTGTCAGTACTTAGCACTGACCCTGCGGCGCGATTGCATTAACGCCGAAGCTTACACGACAGAGCCTTGCTGCGAGAAGTGAGGCCGAGGATACTGAAATCGCTGCGAAAGCAGCTCAATTATGGGCGGTGATGAAGACACACGTCCTGCACGGCGGCAGTAGCCCAGGTTCCGGCCGGCATCTTATGTCAGCCTGGCTGAAGAATCATGCTGACGACTCAGAAAAGGATGAGGCGACGGCTCTCGCTCAAGTGCCACGCACACGCAAGGTGGGCCACTTAGCCCCATATGCTGTTCCCGATTGACCGGTCCCTCTACCACTTGTTAAGCCAAAGACACTTTGGATTGACGACAAGGCCGAGATCAAGGCTCAAAACATTGTGCATAGGTACAAGGAGATGGATGTGGCCAGGATCTGCACGGACGCGATCACAGCGGGGCTCAAGGCGGGTAAGTTGCGCGACTCAGTGACGAATGGCTCATATTCTGTCGCAACGACCTTCGGGCCAAACATCTGCGTGTACGTGACGAACGACCAGTGCTTCCCGAAGGACATCCGTGCGACGACGGCAGCACGGGGTGCGAATTGCTAGGACGGGGTGGGCCGGACCATATATTCACATCTTTGTCAATGTGATTTTTGAATATCCTAGGCGACCATCTCCAGATGACTGAACGTTATGAGAACCTACCCCGGTGCTCAATTGGTGCTGTACACCATCCGGACCGTCACACTTCTCATGCTGCGCGCTGCGCGCGGTCTTGTGGCCAGTAACAAACTGCTGTACGGCTTGGAGAGTATATTACATATTTGTTCAGGATGTCACTCAGGTTTTAAAGTGAACAATCAAGAGATGAGGTCTTGAGAACCGTCACTGCGTGCCGATGATACTCAGGGCCTCGGTAATAACATGTTAACAACTTGTAGGTAGATCTTACCAGCAGTCACAAATTCCGTAACCGTGACAGAGCTACGATCACCGAGCAAGTAGTACTTACTTACTACATGTATAATTACATCCTTACATAGCACTGTCACGGTATCGGTACAGTAAGTATGTGCTCGGTAAGTACAGTATGTGCCTCGACCCTCTTGCGTCAGTACTCCCATCTTCCGACCTTTACTCAAGGCTAAAGTACAGGCTGCGCGGAGACTCGCCGCCGTCGTCGACGAAAAGGATTACTGTCTGCCCAGCGATGGCCACTTCCTTGACGCTGGATCCCTCGGGCAGTGGCCTCGAAACCACCACCCGCTCGCCTTCTCTCGGGAAGCCATGCTCCAGGAATCGCCTCAGATCGACCGCGCATACGGACCCATCAGCGAAGACAACGACGACCGCGAACTCATCACCGGTTTGACTGAGCCCACAATACTCTACTGCAGTGCCCTGCACGCCGTGGTTGATCGTCTCCATCTGCCGCTGGCTGCCCGTCGCGGGGTCGAGGACGACGGCGTATCCGAACTTATCGGACTTTATGCCGTCTCCATTGTCGTGCCGTCCAAATGCGACGATAACATCCAGAGCAGCAACGTATCGAACGGTGTGCACCCAGCCTTCGATGGGCTTAGCGTGCCACCGAATGGTCATGGTCTCCGTGTCGATGGCATAGATCGACGTCTGGCAGGCAGATTGCACCGGGAGCCCGCTACCGTCTGCCTCGTAGACGGCCAGCAGGAAGGTGTTCTCATTCAGGTGCGCGCTGCATGTCGGGTAGATCTCATCGCCATCCTCGATCCCGACGTCGAGCGTGAAGCTAGCGTCTGGCTCCGGTGAGTGGGGAACGTCGGCCCCGCGCCAGCGCAGGACCTCCATTTTGTCACCCCACGCCTCGGACGACGTCGCGATGATATCGCCGTTCGGCCTGACGTGGACGGGCAACAGCACGCCTCCGTTCGTGTTCAGCCGCTTCTCCTCGCGCGCCCTGAGACGTGAGGGGAGGGTGGCCCGGCCGAGGACCCCACCGTCGCCGAGGACGTCGCAGAGCAAGGCTGTGGTGAGGTTTTCTACAATGGCGACAACGACCTTGCCGTCCGCGTACCACAGGTGATCCTCGGTCAAGGTGCCATACAGCTCGAGCTTGCGGATGAGGTGACCGTCGACGACGCTGAACACGAAGAGCGAGGGTGGGACATTCTCCTGGGCCTGGTCGGCGATGATGATGAGGTTACGGTCGATGTCGAAGATGGGTTCGAGGTGATACGGCGGAGGCTGTACGAAGTGGGCGAGGTGTGCTACGTGCTCGAGGCGCTCGTGTGGGCCTCCCGCGCGCCAGACATCGACGCTGGTTTTGCCGAAGGTGAGTACATAGGACTGATGGACGTAGAATGTCTCGACGTTGCCGTCGAGAGTGAGGGGTTGGGAGTTTGCTGGGGACATCGAGGTGGTTGGTGGGTGCTTTTGGCTAAAAAACCCACGTCAATATACTGATCATATGCGATCTAATGTATAGTCTCACTCACTGTGGAAGTCGGGCAAGGTCGAATGGTTGTAGTGGGGGTTGTGATGGAACACTTTTGAGCCCCCGAGATGTTCAGGCTGTGGCCTCCTAGGGATACGATTGCTATTCACGTCGCACAGCCCCTTTCCTGATCTCATGATCGGCATCGCCCTATAGGCAGGTGTACCTCCGAAACGACGGGTGGCGCACCGTCCGATGCCTTCTACGGTGTGTCCGGATACCGTGTCGGGATGCTGAGGTGAGCGCCGGATCAAGAGGGGCTTCCTGATACCTTTGAGCGCGGCGAACCTGGGCTTCAAAGGTACAGCACCTGAGGCCTGAGCGCTGAGCAGCCCACACTTTCTCCGGAATATGTTACGGAATTCGGGTTCAAGAGGATGGTTGTCGACTTCATGAAACCTCGCTGGTTCATCCTTGTATTTGGGCACTTGGCACAGAGCTTGTTCCGGATAACTATTTCGAAGTTCAAACCTCCGGGCGCTCAAGGTGACTGGGCCCGCCTTGTCTATTAGGTGTGGTGCAATTTTGACTGACATGACATCTGCATGTGCAGCTCCGAATCACGTATCATCTTTATCTGCCAGAGCGCTGTTCGGGCGCTTTGTACTGCTCCCCTGGAGAGCTGACGGGCACATTGGGTTAAACGCTCGCATGTCGGAACGGACTGTGTACCGACGCTCGTGTGTCAAGGCGGACGGCCGCCAGACATAAAAGGCAGGACGGAGCAATGTCCAAAGCCAGGCCGGTCCTCCTTCACGCGTGCAGTCTTGCTCTAACATACTTTCGACTACTCGCCCATCCGTCTGATTCGTTATCCAGACACTATTCCAGAAACTCCCCTCATCGCACGAACCTAACGACCAGCCCCATACATCCGCCATGCGTCTTACTACTGCTCTTCTCGCCACCGTCACTCTTCTTTGCACTGTCTTCGTAGCTCAGGCAGTCCCCCTTACACCTGCGCGACACGATGCGATAGCCTGCGCAAGACTGATAGATTGCGACTCTTGTGGTACGTCGTCTCTGGCTTGGCTGCCTCCAAACTGTCATTCACAATCCCGGCTATTGCAGTCCGCGCAAGTCGTTGTGGGTTCTCACTCGACACGCAAACCTGTGAAGCGAAGGAGGACCACGCCGGGAAGCTTGCGACATCTGCGACTCAATGCAAGAAGGCGACCGCGGTAAGTACCCCGTACTGTCTCTGATTAGTTCGCGTTAATGTTGATGCGTGTACCGTAGATCCATGCCGCACGAGAGTGGTATGTCGCTGCGAGAGCAGATGCGAAATGGACAGGGATAGAGACGCACGTCCTGGATGGCCGCCCCGACAAGGCAGAATCCGGCCGGCATCTCACGTCGACTTGGTTCGCGCACGATGACAACAAGGGCACTGCTGAACACATGACCATCGACACAGCGACGGCTCTCGCTCAAGTGCCGCTAGCCACGGGGGTGAGCTGCTTTGCCCTATGTGCTTTTTCCGACTGACGACATCATCTCCTGCGAAGACGAAAACACTTTGGATTGATAGCGATGCGGAGGGAAAGGCGACAAGCCTTGCGCACAAGTACACGCGGGACCAGGTCGCCGACATATGCAAGGCCGCGCTCGCGGCAGCGCTCAACACGGGCAAGTCAAAGAAGTCGGTGACGAGTGGCTCTTACGCTGTCCAGACGCCTTGGGGGAACCATATCTGTGTGACGGTGTCCAACGCACAGTGCTACCCGGAGAACATCCATGCGACGACGGTGGCACCGGGTGGGAAGTGTTAGGACGGGATGGGTAGGACGAAGAGTAGTGAAATATGTATTTGCATCGTTGCTACCAGAACTCGTAAATCTCCTGGTTGACCGTCTTGTCACCGTGTCTGCTGCTACTGCGCGTGGTTAACCATACCGCACTCCCCCGTTCGGCCTATCAACGGATGTCACACTGAAGTCAATCGTCAATGCAAACATCACACACTAGCAGTACTTTACCTCGTTTCGGGAAGTGTATTGCAAGGATGGAACTGGGGAACTACCTTTTACCTTCCGACAGCTCATTCTTTAGCCTATTTCGTTGCATTCGAGTACGGCCAGTCGCTGCCTTCTCCCACTCGGACTCTCTCATGTAGTACCTGCTGGTAGTATGTCATATTTCAGGGCATGAATCATGGCCACAGCAGCTCTTTTATAATCAATACTATACTAGTTCTATCCACAGAACCATTCCTACTGCGCATGGATCCGACAAAGTGCTTAGCAATTATAACATTAGTCTGGTTCACAAGATGTACCGGCCCAGCACCGTAGCTCGCCCTTAGCGGAGTCACATAACTTGAGCACCTTCACCTCCGACGACGCGCGTGTAATCAATTCTCGGCGCGCAACGCGCTCGACGTCGCCTGAGTTTGTGCTTCTTTTCAAGTTCAGGTCGGTCTCACTTCTCTACTTGTGTAATATGGTATGTACCAGCATCAGCACTGCTTTTGATCTAATCGTACCAAACAGTAAGTAAGTACATGCATGCGTATACGGCGCCTCGGCCCTCTACCCATGACTCTACTCCACTGGCAGGCTAAAATACAGGCTGGGCAGAGAATCACTGCTATCGTATACGGAAACGATCACTGTCTGTCCACCTACAGCTACTTTTTTGACTCTGGACCCCTCTGGCAGTGGCCTCAAAACCACCAACCGCTCGTCTTCTCTCGGGAAGCCATGCTCCAGGAATCGCCTCAGGTCGACCGCGCTTACTGACCCGTCAGCGAAAACAACGACAACCGCGAAGTTATCCCCGGTCTTGCTGAGCCCGCAATACTGTACTGCAGTGCCCTGTACGCCGTGGTTGATCGTCTCCGTCTGCCGCTGGCTGCCCGTCGCGGGGTCGAGGACGACGACGTATCCGAAACGGTCGGACTTTATGCCGTCCCCGTTGTCGTGCTGTCCAAATGCGACAATAACATCCAGAGCAGGAACATATTTGACGGTGTGCACCTGGCCTTCGATGGGCTTAGCGTGCCACCGGATGGTCATGGTCTCCGTGTCGATGGCATAGATCGACGTCTCGCAGGCGGATTGCACAGGGATGACGTCGCCGTTCGCCTCGTAGACAGCCAGCAAAATGGTGCTATCATCGTCCAGAGGCGCGCTGCATGTCGGGTAGATCTCATCGCTGTCCTCGGTCCCGACCTCTAGCTCGAAGCTCGCATCTGGCTCCGGTGAGTTGGGAACGTCGGCCCCGCGCCAGCGCAGGACCTCCATCTTGTCACCCCACGCCTCGGACGACGTCGCGATGATATCGCCGTTTGGTCTGAGGTGGACGGGCAGCAACACGCCTCCGTTTGTGCTCACCCGCTTTTCCTCGCGCGCCCTGAGACGTGAGGGGAGGGTGGCCCGGCCGAGGACCCCGCCATCCCCGAGGACGTCGCAAAGCAAGGCTGTGGTGAGGTCTTCTTCTGTGGCGACAACGATCTTGCCGCCAGCGTACCACAGGTAATCCTCGGTCAAGGTGCCGTTCAGCTCGAGCCTGCGGATGAGCTGACCGTCGACGAGGCTAAACACGAAGAGCGAAGGTGGAACATTTTCCTGGGCCTGGTCGGCGATGATGACGAGGTTACGGTCGGTGTCGAAGACGGGGTCGAGGTGGTACGCCGGAGGAGGTACGAAGTGGGCGAGGTGCGCTTCGTGCTCGAGGCGCCCGTCTGGACCTTCCGCGCGCCAGATGTCGACGCTGGTTTTGCCGAAGGTGAGTACATAGGACTGGTGAACGTAAAATGCTTCTACGTCGCCGCCGAGGGTCAGGGGCTGGGGGCTAGCTGGAGACATTGATGTGGATCGTGAGTACTTTTGGCTAGAGAACGCACGTCAGTATATTACTGATCATACGCGATCCAATGCATAGTCTCACTCTCGGTCGAAGTCGGGCGAGGTCGAATGGTCGTAGTAGGAGGTGCGATGCAACAGTTTTGAGTTCTTGAGATGCTGTGGCCTCCTTCGAAAACAATAGCTGTACATGTCGTACAGCCTCTTTACTGATCTCATAAACGGGACCGCCCTACCATAGACCCTGGATGGCCCACCGTCCGATGCCTTCTCGAAGTTCTTCGGTGTGTTCGGTTACCGCCACAAGATGCTTCGGTGAGCACTGGATCAAGAGGGGCCTCCTGTGACTTTTGGACGTGGCGAACGCGGGCTACAAGGGTGCAGCACTACAGCAGCCTACGTGTTTGCCTGGATACAATACGGAATTCTTTGGTGGGTCCAAGAAGACAGTTGTCGATTTCTTGAAACGTCTGGAAGTGGCGAACGTTGTGGACGTAGGCCATAGTGGTGCATCGCAGCATCACAGCAGCCGACTCGGATGTAGCATGTCACGATTGCCCTGATCAATCCTAGAGCCCAGGCAGGTAGGGTAGACATGGTGGGCAAGATATGATCCAAATTGTCCGTTCACTGGATACGCCCTATGCTCATACTTGTATTTGGACACTCGGCTCAGAGCTTATCCCAAAGCAAGGCTTACAAGCTCGATCCTCCAGACGCTCAAGATCATTCCTCCTTGTCCGTGTGTGGTATTATCTTGACTAACATACTGCATGTGCAGCACTGGATGGTCCTCTTGATCCACGTATCATCTTCAAGTTCATCTGCCAGGGCGCTGTTCGGGCGCTTTGTAACAGCTGAGCGGGCACATTTGGTTGAATGCTCGTATGGACTGTTTACCAACGCTCGCATGTCGAAGCTGTCGATTCCCAGATATAAAAGGCAGGACGTAGCTCTGTTCAAAGTCAGGCCGGTCCTCCTTCGCTGCGCGGGCAATCTTGCTCTAGTAACGTACATTCCAACGTAAGTTACATTCAACTACTCGTCTATCCTTCTTATTCATCGTCTATTTACCAGCGTATAAATTCTTCTAATCGCACGAACATAACGACTAGTCCCGTATATCCGACATGCGTCCTACTGCGGCTCTCTTCGCTACCCTCACTCTCCTTTGCACTGTCTTCTTGGCGCAGGCCGTCCCGTTTAAACCGTCCCGAAATGATGCCGAAGCCTGCGCAAGACTGACAGAATGCGACTCTTGTGGTACGTCATCACTCTTCCTTTCCCGACGGTTGTGGTTCACAATCCCTGCTATTGCAGTTCACGCGAGTCGTTGCGGTTTCTCCCTTGACACCCAAAGCTGTGCCACGAAGGAAGGCCACCTTGGGAGGCTTGCGACATCTGCGTCTCTATGCAAGAAGGCGACCGCTGTAAGTACCCCGCACTGTCCCTGATCAGATCGCGTCAATGTTAATGCATGTAACGTAGATTCATGCCGCACGGGAGTGGTATGTCGTTCCGAGAGCAGATAAGGCATGGGCAGCGATGGAGACGCACGTCCTGGATGGTCGTCCCGACAAAGCACAGTCCGGCCGGCATCTTACATCCACTTGGTTCGACCACGTTGATAACAAGGCCACTGCTGCGCACATGACCATCGACGCAGCGACGGCTCTCGCTCGAGTGCCGCTCGGTAAGGGGCCGGTGAGCTGCTTCGCTCTCTATGCTTTTCCTGACTGACCCTATCCTCTCCTGTGAAGCCGAAGACACTTTGGATTGATAACGATGCGGAGGGAAAGGCGACCAGCGTTGCGCACAAGTATACGCGGGAACAGGTCGCCGGAATATGCAAGGCGGCGCTCGCGGCGGCGCTCAAAGCGGGCAATTCGAAGGGTTCGGTGACGCACGGTTCCTATGCTGTCAAGACGCCCTGGGGGAATCAAATATGCGTGAAGGTGACCGATCGTCAATGCTACCCGTTGAGGATCGAAGCGACAACGGCAGCACCGGGTACGAATTGCTAGGATCGGGTGGGCCGGACGGAAGAGTAGTATTAGTACGATATGTACTTGCTTTGCTGCAAGTGTGATGATTTAGGAATACCCTGTGTACCCTTTCTAGTTGCTGCGCATTGTGACGACCTACACGGCACCCGGCGGACTGTCAGAGGCTATACGAACGGTGTTGTCATGATGCTCATACTGGTCTCGCGCTGGCTTGCTAGTCTATACACAATAGGTTGACGACGCCGCGGGCCCGGGCCGCGGCGCCTCTCCACCAGGAGTCACGATTCCCGTGTCTCTGACAGAGCGCTACCGACCAATATTATAATTTACATATCCAAATTGTACCAAACAGTAGGTATATGTTTCGTATGCGCCTCTACCCATGGACTCTACTCCAGGCTAAAATACAGGCTGCGCGGAGAGTTGTAGACGGACATGATCACTGTCTGCCCAACTACAGCTACTTCCTTAGCTCTGGACCCCTCTGGCAGCGACAGTCGCCTCGAAAATAACAACCGCTCGCCTTCTCTCAGGAAGCCATGCTCCAGGAATCGCCTCAGGTCGACGGTGCACACTGACCCATCAGCGAAGACAACAACGACCGCGAAGTTGTCCCCGGTTTGACTGAGCCCGCAGTATTCTACGGCAGTGCCCTGCACGTTGTAGTTGATCGTCTCCGTCTGCCGCTGGCTGCCCGTCGCAGGGTCGAGGATGACGACGTATTCGAACTTGTCGACCTTGTCGCCGTCTCCGTTGTTGTGCCGTCCAAATGCGACGACAACATCCAGCGTGGCGAAGTATCGAACGGTGTGCACCCAGCCTCCGATGGGCTTAGCGTGCCACCGGATGGTCATGGTCTCCGTGTCGATGGCATAGATCAACGTCTGGCAGGCGGATTGCACCGGGAGGACGTTACCGTCTGCCTCGTACACGGCCAGCAAGAAGGTGTTCTCGTCCAGCGGCGCGCTGCATGTCGGGTAGATCTGATCGCCGTCCTCGACCCCGACCTCGAGCGTGAAGCTCGTGTCTGGCTCCGGTGAGTTGGGAACGTCGGCCCCGCGCCAGCGCAGGACCTCCATTTTGTCACCCCACGCCTCGGACGATGTCGCGATGATATCGCCGTTCGGCCTGAGGTGGACGGGCAGCAACACGCCTCCGTTCGTGTTCACCCGCTTCTCCTCGCGCGCCCTGAGACGTGAGGGGAGGGTAGCCCGGCCGAGGACCCCGCCGTCGCCGAGGACGTCGCAGAGCAAGGCTGTGGTGAGGTCTTCTTCTATGGCGACAACGACCTTACCGTCAGCGTACCACAGTTGATCCTCGGTCAAGGTGCCGTGCAGCTCGATCTTGCGGATGAGATGACCGTCGACGAGGCTGAACACGAAGAGCGAGGGTGGGTCATTTTCCTGAGTCTGATCGGCGATGACGATGAGGTTACGTTCGATGTCGAAGACAGGTTCGAGGTGATACGCCGCAGGTTGTACGAAGTGAGCGAGGCGCGCTACGTGCTCGAGACGTCCGTGTGGGCCTCCCGCGCGCCAGACATCGACGCTGGTTTTGCCGAAGGTGAGTACATAGGATTGGTGGACGTAGAATGTCGCTACGTCGCCGTCGAGAGTCAAAGGCTGGGGAGACATCGAGGTGGATGATGGTGAGTACTGTTGCCTGGACATAGCCCGTCAGCATACTGATCATACGCGGACCAATGTAGAGTCTCACTTTCTGGTCTCACTCTCTGTGGAAGTCGGACAAGATCGAATGATCGTAGCAGGAGGTGCGATGTATCACTTTTGAGCCCTCGAGATGCTGTGGCTTCCTTTGAGAACAATAACCGTTCAAGTCGCACAGCCCCTTTCCTGATCTCATGATCTGGACCGCCCTATAGGCAGCCGTGCCTCTGGAATGATGGGCGGCCCACCGTCCGATGCCTTCTTGAAGTTCTTCGGGGTGTTCGGATACTGTTACAAGATGCTTCGGTGAGTACTGGATCAAGAAGGGCCTCCCGAGACCTTTGAACGCGGCGAACGCGGGTAAAGATGCAGCACTACAGCAGCCTACGTGTTCGCCTGGGTATCATACGGAATGCCTTGGTGGGCGCCGGTAACTTACAAGAAGACGGTTGTCGACTTCTTGAAACGTCTGGACGCGGCGAACGTTGTGGACGTGGGCCATAGTGCTTCAGCACAGCAGCCGACTCGGACGTCGCATGTCACGATATCTGCTTAGACCAATCCTAGAGCGCAGGCAGACAGGGTAGACCTTGCGGGCAAGATATGAACCAAATTGCCTGTTCATTGGATACGGGCGCCCTATGTTCATCTTTGTATTCGGGCACTTGGCTCAGCTTATCCCAAAGAGCAAGGCTTACAAGTTCAAAACCCCGGACGCTCAAGGTGATTACTCTCGGTCCGTGTGGTATTATTTCGACTGACATGCTGCATATGCAGCACTGAATGATCCTCCAGGTCACGTATCATCTTAATCCGCCAGGGCGCTGCTCGAGCGCTGTGTAACGTTCCGCCGCCCACCTAGAGAGCTGATCGGGCACAATAGGTTGAACGCTCGCTGGTCAAGGCTGACGGTTGCCAGATATAAAAGGCAAGACGTAGCTCTGTTCAAAGCCAGGCCGGTCCTCCTTCACGCATGCAGCCTTGCTCTAACGTACATTCAACTACTAATCCATCCTTCTTGTCTACCGTCCACTCACCAGCGTAGAAATTCCGCTTACCGCACGAACGTAACGACCAGTACTGTACATCCGCCATGCGTCCTACTACTGCTCTCCTCGCTACCCTCACTCTCCTTTGCACTGTCTTCTTGGCGCAGGCCGTTCCGCTTACACCCTCCCGAAACGGTGCCGAAACCTGCGCAAGCCTGAGTTGCGACTCTTGTGGTACGTCATGACTCTCTTGGTTGCGCGAAGCTTGTCATTCACAAAAACCTGCTATTGCAGTCCACGCGAGTCGCTGTGGGTTCTCCCTTGACACGCAAAGCTGTACCGCGAAGGAAGGCCACGCTGGGAGGCTTGCAACATCTACGACTCAGTGCAAGAAAGCGATCGCCGTAAGTACCGACACTGTCCCTGCTCAGATCGCATCAATGTTGATGCATGTACCATAGATCCATGCCGCACGCGAGTGGTATGTCGCTGCGAGAGCAGATGCGAAATGGACAGGGATAGAGACGCACGTCCTGGATGGCCGCCCCGACAAGGCAGACTCCGGCCGGCATCTCACGTCGACTTGGTTCGCGCACGATGACAACAAGGGCACTGCTGAGCACCTGAACATCGACGCAGCGACGGGTCTCGCCAACGTACCGCGCTCCAAGGGGTGAGCTGTTTCGCCCTATATGCTTTTCCCGACTGACCCTATCCTCTCCTGTGAAGTTGAAGCCGAAGACACTCTGGATTGATAGCGATGCGGAGGGAAAGGCGACAAGCATTGCGCACAAGTACACGCGGAGCCAGGTTGCCAGCATATGCAAGGTCGCGCTCGCCGCGGCGCTCGACACGGGCAAGAAGAAGGATCACGTGACGAATGGTTCTTGGGCTGTTCAGACGCCCTGGGGGAACCAAATCTGCGTGACGGTGTCCGGCGAACAGTGCTACCCGGCGAACATCCATGCGACGACGGCAGCACCGGGTCAGCGGTGCTAGTACTATGTAGGACGGGGTGGGCTGGACGGAAGAGTAGCAGACATTGAGATATGTATTTGCATTGGTGCAAACGTGATGACTTGAAAATGTCCTAAGTGACCTTCTCCAGATGCTGCGCATTGTGAGGATCTACCCGGTATCAGCAAACGAGAGGCCATTCGAACATCGAATGGAGGAGGAGGGCATTACTTAGTTACTAGTTATACTCCCGTGACGGCAGTGACTCGGCTCGAACTAGACCGACGTAGTACACGTACCGGGTGTGGAGCCGGTCTCTCTGTTCCTCTCGCAGAACTATGTAGGCTGCACCCAAGGCTCATGCAGTCGTACGGACGAAGGCCTTCGTGTAGCCTGCGTCGGCCTGAGCGACACGGCTCTGCACGGCAGACTCGCATATTAGTCATATACATACGCACTACGAACGGAGAACTGCAGTTTCTTGTACTTAAGTGACAATGTGGTACATACCTCCGATGAGCTGAGATGACGATAATGCCACCCCTAATTTTATCGTCGTGTCATCGCGTCGACTGACAAGCGAATGTGCCTCGTGGTGTTGCCAGCGGACTAATAGTAAGTACTGTATGTAGATACTTAATGCCAAGGAGGCGTGGGGAAGAATTCTTGACGCAGAGGTTGTGTTCTAGCGTTGAATTTGACAATTGAGGTCGACTGTTCATCTTGAGTCTGAAATGATTATGAAGTGTTGCATATGTACTTACACTAGCAAAAACCCGTGCATTGCACAGGATGCAGTTCACAGCTCATGACGTGGAGTTCAGAAGGAAGTATGTATGTACATAGATTTTGAGGCGGAAGATGAGGATGCCCCTCGCAGACATGGCGGTAGTCTTGTCGCAAAGTCCCGGGCGTCCGGAAGGGGTCTGCAGGGTGGTGGGTCAATACAACTCTGCTTATCTCACGCAACATACCATAATAATGTACACTGTAATCACGGTAACTATTTTCTCTATTGCGCGAATCTATACGGCCTGAGCTGCAGTGAACACGGTGGCGCGACGCGGTCACCACCAACTTCGTCGTAACTTCACCACTGGTGTTGGCGGTGGACTGCGGGTTGGCCTACCTCAGTACTTGGTACCTGCGCGACTTTGGGCTCGTTATCAGCACCTGCCGTCCTCGCCGTCCTCCTCGCTCGCGCTTGCCCGCCCCCGTTCCTCACGCGCCGTCCCACCTGCTCACCGCTGTACGCGCACCCACGGCGTGCTCGTCCGACGCTCGTCGGCTGCGCTTGCACGCGGGTCACTGGCCCTGCGCGCTCGTAGTCGGCGTGTTGCGTACGCCCCGACCCTGCTCACGGTCGCCGTCTGGCATCTTTCACTCACGCGCGCGGGCGTCGGTCGTACCTGCAAACTGGGCATTTGCCCGGTGCGCTCGTGGTCGGCGTGTGTGTCGTCGCCCATGCTTGTGCCCGTATGCCCTCCTGTCTCCCCGCCCGCCGTCCCGCTTCCCCGCCTGCGTGCCTGCCTGCGTATGTGGTCGCCGGCCGTCTCTGCGTGCTGGGCATTGGCCCAGCGCGTTCGCCGTCGCCGTGCGCTGTCTGCTATGCTGTCGTCTGCCGGTCCGCGCGCCCGCGCGCTCGCCTGCTCGTTGCCCGTCCGCTCGCATTGCGTGCGTTCGTCGGCCAGGGCATCCTCCCAACACGCCCGCGGCCTGCGTGTGTGTCGCGCTGCGTGAGGACACACCTCAGACTGTGCCAGCCTACCTGTTCTCCTGCCCGTCCGCTCACCAACTTGCCCATCGACTTGCTCATTCGCCGGCTTGCCCGTCCTGCATTCGTCGGCCGCGTCTGCGTGCTGTGGCGCAGCGCGCTCGCGGTCGTCGTGTGTGCCGTCGTGCTGCATGACGCCGTGATCTGTGCTGACCCGACCGCTTGCTTCGCGCAACCACCCGCTTGCTCACTCACCTGCTCGTCTCACAAATCCTTCCGTACGGTCGTCCGCCCATCCGCCTGTCCGCTTGCTCGCTCGTCCCCCGCTCTTGTGCCCGCTCGCCCGCCCATTTGCGTGGTGTGTGCGTTGACCGTTCGTCGGCCGTGTGTTCGTGGTGGGCATTCGCCCTGCGCGCTCGCGGTTGGCGTGCTCTGCGCGCCCCCTGCCCCACGCCTGTGTTAGCTTGCTAGCTCGCGTGCAGTTGCACTTACCTTCGCCAGTGTCATACACTCGCCACGCGTTCGTCGGCCGCGTCTGCATGCTGGGCACTTGCCTTGCGTGCCCGTGCTCGTCGTGCTCAGCGTCGAGCCTTCGATGTGCTTCGTGGTGCCGCTGCTGTCGGGCTCGTAGTGGTGCTCTAGCACGCCCGAGCCAAGCCCGAGGACCGTCGCGATGTTGAGGGGGAGTTCCTCGCAGCCAGAGGGAGAGGGACGCGATGGAAGCAGAAGATGAAGACGGCCCTCGCGCTCACCCCGTCGCGCGGTCATGTGCAAGGCAGTGTTCAAGTCCGTGGGAAGCGCATTGCGTCATACGTCGGACGCGTCCACCAATCAGAATGCTCACTTATGTGGAGCGTTTATGTCGCGGTGGGGACCGCGTTCTCGTATATGAAAGAGAAGATGAAAGAGAAGATGAAAGAGAAGATACGGCCCGGCTATCCTTCGCATTCACTACATCTCGTCCAACGTTAGAACACACACCCATCCAGCACTGACCTTCACGATGGATCCCTAATCAATGTTTGCATCACGCTCAACCTAGTTATACGCACAGCTGAGTGCGCGGGGTCCGGCGGGGAGACGAACCGGACGGCAGGCATCGGTGTCCGAGCCTGCCTCTCTCATCTCCGCACCGCAGAGCGTGTGGAGCGATTATACCGAAGATACGATGGTGTCGATGTCAAATGGAGTGGTCGCGTATTCTACGGCAACCGGCGCTCGACTCGGAGGAGATAAACAGGGTATGACGAGGATGGGTATTGACCAGATATGAGGGTCCGGACGTTCCTCGTCATGCAGGGGAGTTTTAGGTTGGACTCGCGACCGCACAGTGCAAGTTGTAGCTGATGTCTTGATATGTATGTGGCTATAGTAAGTGGACTGGTGCGACGCATGCTATGCAGAGACATTTTAACACCCTTCGCTGGCAATGGAAATACGACATCGACTCTCGCGCATTCTCTTCCTCTGTTCAGAACCCTGCGCAGCCTCGATCCCACGTCTATGTGGTTCTCTTTGATCATCGAAAAACATTCATTGAACAAGCTCAAGGTTCGGATACGCCTGCCTCCCACGCGCTTAGCCGAATCAAGTGCACTGCATCTAAGACTGGTCCTCCGTATGTATTTCTCGGGTACTCGTCGCTTACTGAGCATGAGTATTGCGGGCACCGCCTTTCACAGGATCTGGGCCATGGAGGACTATTGCGGCATTGGCTGCGAGATCCTCGACTTCGCGGTGTCCACTGAAGGCCCAGAACTGCTTCCTCGAAAATTGTGTATTCATGTTCGACTCTTCTATAGGTACCGGCGAGCTTCGTGGTATCGGTTAATATACACATATCTTCTGTGGCGACCTTTGTTGTCCCTGCTCTCTCCCCTTCGTCCGACTTCGAGTCTGCGCAGCGCGAACCAAAAGCCACTGAGAGTCATTACGAGGTACATCTCCGTTTTCGCCAACGAAGATTGTTACTGAATTCCCGCTTTTCTTTTAGTGTCGCGAGCCTAAACGGTTGTAAGCCCGGTGAACGTGAAGTATCGGATGATTTCACGCTACGGCGACATATTTCCATCCATGAAGACATCAAATAATCTAGCATTGTGCGATCGACGAGTTGAACCCACCAAAGCCAGTGCATACACTGATCGTCCTAGGAACCCGCAATGATACGAACGTCGTGGAGACAGGGTCAGCTGGATGCACCGGCGTTAGGCACACATGTATGTCGCGACCCTAGCACACAGAGACGCAGTGGAGTTCGCCGCGACTGGGGTGAGGATTGGATGAACCGAGTGAGTGAGCTGGCAGCGACCTCTGTATGCATAGACTCGCCTTCGGCCACATAGTATGATCCGCAAACAGAGGGCGTTCGTCGCACTACATAGGTGTGTGAAGCGGTGGGCCGCCGTGGATCATAAGGCCGGCAAAAGGAGCGGAATTGTTCGCTCGCAGGCTGGGTTGTGGTACAGGTGGAACGGTTGGATTGGGATAATGTTCGGGAAAGTTGAGTATAACGCTCGATCGCGCGGCGGGAATGGGGTGGGATCCAGTGTCTCTTGCTCGACATTCTGCCTCGAATGACGAATGACCCTGTTGTCCCGCCGGCGGCCAGCCAATGCTACTACCCGCTTCAGTTAATGCATGCTCCATGACACAGATTCTCTAGAGGGTAGGGCCAACTGACGAGGCAGAGGATGGGCACGACGACTCTACTGGGCGCGAGAAGAGCAAAGGTGTGTAACTCGATTTTGATGGCGAGGCATGCTTCTGGATTCCTCAATTTGTTAGACTGGTTATGTCGAGAACAACGGCTATGAGAGGACAGACTCGATTTGGATTCGATGGGCCGGCTCGGACCGTGGACGGAGGAGGAGGAGGGATCGCGATGCGGCACATGACTGGATCTCCGTCTTGCCCTCATGGGAGATGTGTGGGAGGTATGTACTATATTGTTAGAAGAAACTGCGGTTCTCCGTTCGCAGCGCGCATGCGTATGCATGTCTACTACGCGAGTCTTGCAAGCAGAGCCCTGCCGCCCGTGCCGATGCAAAGTACGCGAAGGCCCGCATCCGTACGACTGCATGAACCTTGGGTGCGGCCTAGTTCTGCGATAGGAACGGAGAGACCGGCTGAGCGAAGGTGAGGCAAGCGCGGCGGTCGTAGCATTGCAGCGCTCACCCGTTACGCAAGTCTTGGTTTCGAGCCGAGTCACTGCCGTAGTACTACTGATAGTAACTACTCTCCTCCTCCGCTCAATGGTACAGTACTCGAGTCATACTGCACCCTACTGCGTGTGAACTAACCTGGCAAGCCAGCGCGAGACCAGTCTGAGCACCATGACAACACCGTTCGAATGACTTCTCGTTGTCGGATAGTCCGGGCACCGGGTAGATCCTCACAATGCGCAGCAGCTAGAGAACGCCACTCAGAATATTCGTAAATCATTACGGTTGCAACAATGCAAGTACGTGTCGCAATGCTACTCTTCCGTCTCCGGCCCAACCCATCTCACCCCAACCCACCCCATCCTAGCACTTCTCACCGGGTGCCGCCGCCGTCGCATCGGTCGTCGCTGGGTAGCACTGTACGTTGGACACCGTCACGCAGATGTGGTTCCCCCAGGGCGTCTGGACAGCGTAAGAGCCACTCGTCACCGACTCCGTCGACTTGCCCGTGTTGAGCCCCGCCACGAGCGCGGCCTTGCATATGTTGGCGACCTGATTCCGCGTATACTTGTGTGCAATATGTGTCGCCTTTCCCTCCGCATCACTATCAATCCAAAGTGTCTTCTTCTTCACAGGCACATGAGCGAGACCCGTCGCTGCATTGATAATCATGTGCGCAGAAGTGCCCTTGTTATCAGCGTGGTCGAACCAAGTGGACGTGAGATGTCGGCCGGAATCTGCCTTGTCGGGGCGGCCATCCAGGGTGTGCGCCTTGATTTGTGTCCATACCACATCTGCTTTCGCAGCGACACTCCACTCTCGTGCGGCATGGATCTGTGGTACATACATCAACATCACGCCGCGATCTGATCAGGGACAGTGCTGGGTACTTACAGCGGTCGCCTTCTTGCATTGAGTCACAGATGTTGCAAGCCTCCCAGCGTGGGCTTCCTTCGCTTCACAGCTTTGTGTGTCAAGTGAGAATTCACAACGGCTCGCGCGGACTGCAATAGCAAGGATTGTGAATGACAGCTTGGAGGTAGTCAATAGACAACGTACCATAAGAGTCGCAATCCGTGAGGCTTACGCAGGTTTCAGCATCGTTCCGGGAGACTGTAAGCGGGACGGCCTGCGCCAAGAAGACAGTCCAAAGGAGTGTGAGGGTAGCGAGGAGAGCAGCAGTAAGACGCATGGCGGATGTACTGGTCGTTATGTTCGTGCGATAAGAGGAGTTCCTACGCTGGTAAGCAGACGGTAAATCAGAAGGATGTATAAGTAGTTGAATGTACGTTAGAGCAAGGCTGCACGCGTGAAGGAGGACCGGCCTGACTTGAACAGAACCACGTCCTGCTTTTATATCTGGCAACCGTCCAAGCCTTGACATGCGAGCGT